AAACATAACCTTCTGGTCTAGCAAATCCCTTTCAGGGCCGCAACCATGGATGAATATATTCACAAGAAAACTATTTTAAAAATCTTGGCAAATTTTCTAATGGTAAACATGCAGTTTCAGTGAAATTTAAGTAAAGGTAAATAAATTAAAGTGAGTAGAGCTTTCTACACTGACATGCGCTGATAGACAAACTCGACAAAAGGAAATTACAGCATGAAACCCACCACTTGAAGCTTCCTGTTCTCTCATAGCATAGCATGAATATGAGTCCTACACTACAAAATCCCTTGAAGTTCAAGGGAGCAAGGAAAAAGTTATCAGGGAACTTCTACTTCATACTTTTTGTATTCTTTGGACTATTTTATTGTGTGCATAAATGTATAATTTTAGAAATACATAAACTTTAAGACGAAAGGAATCAAGGTAAAGTGAGAAGCACAATCCATAAAGGCTTATTTATATAGCAAAAAAATATAAAGTAAAAAAATTTCACAGAAGTCACCTAGACAGAAGATAAACCACAAAGCCTTTGTTCATTTTCTTAGAGGCTATAGAATAAATTTAGAAATCTAATTCTAAGGAGATAACTTGATGGTCATAAAAACTTAACTTTGATTTCCCTCAAATGTCTACAGAAAGCCAGGAGGTAGTAGCACTTTTAATCCCCACACTTGGGAGGCAGAGACAAGTTGATCAGTGTGAGCTGGAGGCCAGACTGGTCTACAGAGCTAGTTCCAAAACAGTCAGAGTTACACAAGGAATCTCTGCCTCAAGAAACCAATGGAGTCTAGAGAAAAATAAGCAAACGAACAAAATTTAGGCAAAAACTTGATTAGAAAAACAGAATGAACCAATCAAGCATGGAATACACACTTTTGTATGTTTTAAGACAGCACAAGACTTTACTAAAGAGGTTTACCAATTGCTCAACAAAAGAGCAAGACTGATTTGATAACAAAAATTCGAAGCCCTAGTCTCTATTTCTTCATGTTCACCATAAAATCTTTATCCTAAAGGACAAATACAAAACTCTAAAGCAGAATACTATGACTCCTTACATACAAGAGTCAAAGCACAAAATTATGGTGCCAGGAATGGGAGCCAGCACTAAGAGGCCAAATCTCTGAGTTCAAGGTCACTCAGGCCATGTGTCCATTTTGTCTATACTAAACGGTTAGGTATTTTACTCATTAATTTATGTTAGCCACTAAATACATAACTTTAACTATGAAAAGTACATTTTAGTATTACTATTTATTTTAATATCACAGTTTGATTTCTATTGCCTAGGGACTGCCATTAAGTAGTGAAACATATGTAAGGCCTATATAATCAGCCCCAATACCCTTATATCCCCCTAGGGGTAAAAAATTCTGAGAGCCATGAGATGGTTCAGTAGGTACAGGCACTTCCCACCCAGCCTGGCAACCTGCCTGAATTTAATCCCTGAAACCCACATGGTGCTAGAGGAGAACCAATTCCTGCAAGCAGCCCTCTGATCTCCACAAAATGTCATGGTACATGTGTCCACACATACACACATAATCACACAAAATAAATTAAATAAATGCAACTATTCTTTTAAAAGATCGAATCAACTTATTCAGTCTCCTTTTAGAATTATTGTCATAGATTATCAACTTTTCAAGTTTGGCAAAGTTTGATTACTGATGATTCATGCAACAAGACTTTGTTGACAATATTTCCCTTCACAGGGACAAGTCAATTGTGATGTCTTTAAAAAAAAAAAAACACTTTAATTTGGGAAGAAGAGAAAAGCTAATAACCAAGGATTGCATCTGATCATCAAAAGTATCACACTGCTGGAAAACACTAACACCAATTATGGACCAACCTGGAGTATTCCTAAAGACAGGCTCAAGTCCTATTTTGTGATATCTTTCCTTATTTGGAAACCCGGTCTGGGCAGATACAGTAGTCAATTTAGGATGAGGTCACATTTGATTAGGGTAAGAACTAATCAAATCCCTAAGACATAAGCATCCACACGGAGAAAGGTCCTGTGCCTACGATGCCAAAGACTGGACATGTTTGCAAGCTATGGAACAGAAAGACAAATCAAAACTCAGAAGCAAGGAAGACACCTTGCAAACTTTGCTTTCATTCTTTTTCCCTTTAGAACCATGAAAGAGAATATTTCAGCTATTTTTAAGTCGCCTAGTAATCTGCTACAGTGACCCCCCCCCCTAAATACTAACAACCGGAACGATCAGCATTTAGTCTTTCTTTAAATTACTATTAGAACTGCAAGTGAAAAACAAAACAAAATCCAGAGCTGAAGAAATGGCTCAATGGTTAAAGAAGTGCTGGTTACTCTTACAGAGGACCCAAGTTCAATCCCAGCACACATGAAACAACTTATACTTCCTGAAATTCCAGGGGACCCACCATCTTCTGACCTCCACAGACACTCACACTAATATGCACACACATACACAGGCACAAACAGATACACGCATGTATGGCATTTGTGCACTAGTGCAGACACATATAAAAATAATCTTAAAAGAAAAAAAAACCTTCAACTGTTTTGAGTTTCTAAAAATGACTTGTTCAAATGGTGATCACTAATATTTACAAAAGTCACTTAAAGACTGTGTGACAATAATTAAAATTTAATTAAAATGTGATCTTCTAAAGCCGTTTATAGCTGGCAATCTTGTAATCTTATCACTAAGGAGGTAAAGAAGCAAAGGCTAGAAGATTTTGAGTTGGAGGCTATAAGACCCTGTCCTTGCCACAACTGAAACAAAAAAACAAAGCTCTGTGGTAGCACATGTCTGCAATCTCAATATTCAAGAAGCTGAGGCAGGAGGATTGCTGAGCATCCCAGACCAGCCTTAGTGACGAGCAACAAAGGAAAGAATCAAATAAGAACTGGAGGGGAACAGTAGGCATCGGAAATGCCTCAGCAATGGTCAAAAGTAAAATTTAAGTAACAAAATATAGTACAACACCCAGACATAAAATAGTAATTTTTCTTTTAAAAAACATATAGTGCCTAGAAAAATGCCTTAGCAGTTAAGAGCACTGGCTACTCTTGCAGAGAAGAACCTAGGTTCAATCCCAGCACCCACATGACAGCCATCTGTAACTCCAATGCCAGGGGATCTGACATTCTTCAGGCCTCCACAGATACCCTCTCCACACACAAACAAACAAAACCAAAACCCTTTTTGCTTTTAATGTTTTAAAAGAGATTGTTTTAAAACCAAGAATGCAGGAGTAAACCATCAGTTAATAACGCAGCAGCACTGTTCCAAATTCTAACAAAAGTTTCATGCAAGCATATGTTGCTGAGGAAAATATAACAGCTGGGGGCGGTTATAAACTATCTGTTCAATTTTCCTACAGTTAATTCTAAGGCTTGGTGTGGCGCTAAATGCCTTTAATCCCAGCATTCCAAAGCAAAGACAAGTTGATCTCTGAGTTCCAAGCCAGCCAGGACCATAAAATGCAAAGGAAATTTCCTAAAATATAAAATATAAAGTTTACATGTGTTTTAAATAATGCCTCTTAAGAATATCCTAGCAGGCGGTGGTGGCGCACGCCTTAAATCCCAGCACTAGAGAGGCAGAGACAGATTGATCTCTGAGTTCGGGGCCGGCCTGGTCTACAGAGTGAGTTCCAGAAAAGAAAAAAAAAAAAAAAGGATATATAGATATATGGAGATATATACATACATAAACACACACACACATCCTAGAACTCATTTACTACATCCTCTCTTGGTGCAAAAAAAAAAAAAACCCACAAATAAAATCTGGTTTAGTTTTGCCTTGCTTTACTCAAGAAATCTCAGTATTATTTTTGTTTTATTTAGGGTCAAGAGGAGAAAAGATTAGTGAAGTATTAAAGATTTAGACTGCTAATTTAATCAAGCACAGTCAAAATTTGCTCAAGGGCCCAATTTTCTTAGATAGCATGATCCACAAAAGAACGAAACAACTGAAACACGGGATACTGTTAGCCTCCTTTGTGATGCTTAACACAAAATATTCATCACTGGGTAAAAACACAAAAAGCAAACTAGGCAACAAAATGATACTTTAACAAGACGCAGCCGCCTTCCCCGGGCCTGCGTAGTCCGAGTCGCTGGGTAGAAGTTCCAGGTCCCGGCCCCCGCCTCCTCCGCCCCTCTGCGCTGCTGGCCCCGCAAGTGTTTGCACTGCGCACGCGCAGTGCTTAACGGCCGGTCAGGAGCCCAACAATTAGTCCCCTGCCTTCTCGGAGAAAACTCTCAGTTCCAAGAAGCGATCGTGAACACTCTCTTCACCAAAAACACTCATTTCTTCGGCGAGAGCGGCGCTCTCATTGGCGAGCTCAGGCGGGCACCGGGGCTTCTCGGAATGAGGTTCCGGCGGTCGCGCCAAGCAGCGTACGCAGCCTGCTTAAGTCTCGCTACCTTCGCCGCAGCAACCGGGAGGCTCTTAATGGTCCGGCGAGAGCCTCCGTGTAAAGTGTTCAACGCTTACCCGCTCCGATTCCGGAACACCGCTGTCGCCACCGTTCCTGTAATTCTCTCCAACCCTTTCGATGCTTCCACTTCTTCATGAACAAGACAAGATGGCGCCGGATAGGGCTCACCCGGAAGTGAATAGTAATAACATCCGCTCTTCGTCTGAAGTCGTACGTGCCCACAGCCCGGCTTTCGAGCATGTGATTATACCGGCTTGACGCGTCCGCGCCATTTTTTTTATGGGCAAACGCTCCTCGATTTCTGCGCTGAATATTCGTGTATTAAGCGTGCGTCATACCCGACACACTTTCATCTGCACAGCCAGCACAAAGCCGAGAACTTAGTGTTCCGTACAAAGGGCGCCTTGAAGTTCTTAACTTTCGCTAGGAGTCCCTCCAATAGAAAGTGTGTCCTCTCCTACGGACATTTCTGCTTAAGGAAAAGATGTTGAATTCGCTTCTCCACTTTCAGACCATGGAGGGACCCCAAAGTCAAACCCAGCCAACTTGAAACTGATTGTGCCAGGCCCACTTCAGACAAGCTGGCATCGGGCTGGAGTCCCACTGAGTTCTGGAAGCAGGGAGTTTGCCTAGGTCTCTTTGTTAACCTCCTAACATCGCGCCCCCTCGTGGGAACTTTCTCTCACTCAGTTCAACTTGACTCAGTTACTAAAAAGTAACTGGGAAGTAGTTCCTACAGGGTCCTCTTCACCTCAGCTACAAGGTGGACTTCCAAAAGGAGGTAAAAGAAGTTTTAGCATGAACAATGTTCATATATCTAAAATGTCAATTTTTCAGCCTACCAGTTTCGTTACAAAAGAAACCAGAATGCTTAGAAATAGAATATTTTTAACCTAAACTTTGGGAAAAACCTTTCAGGAAATTTAAGTGTGCCTGAAGAAAGAGTTGTGAAGCAATTTCAGGAAGGAGGCTGTTTCTGCAAAGACTGATTAGCGCTGCAGTAATGTGGAGATTGGAATGTTACATACAGGTCCAGAGGCTGGCTAATTACCTGTTCTGGGCCTAGCCCAGTGAATAGCCCCTGCTTTCCAATGTTTTCGTTGGATCTAACATTCTGTGACTAATAGATAAAAATCTATTGGAACCTTTCAACTGAGCTGACTCCTAGTCAACTAACTCAAGAACCAAATCAAGAACCCAAATCTCTATTCCCTGGGTCATGGGCATTCAAATATGGCTCCACAATAAGCTCTTATTCCCTTTAAGGTAAGAGATGGGTTTTTTTTTTTTTTCATCCACAGAATACCCTAAAAATCTAAGTCTTTCAGTTGGAAATTTTGCACAAGAAACATGAAATTACTGTAGAAAGAAGTCTGTAGTTGCTTGGGTAAAGAAAATATAGGTAGATGTGAGAGTAGAGACGGCCTTTGCAAGAAATTCTGTCATTCTTAAGCATTTGAAACCCAAGAGTAGTCTGTATTATTAGAATAAAGTCCTCCTAGATAAACACTTTCTGGCCTCAAATTTAGTCTTCAATATATAATTGAAGTGAGGGAGTGCTATGAAGAAAACTACCAACCACCTGACAATATTATGATGGGAGTTCATGAGGTTAGTACTAGATTTAAAAGAAAAAAAAGCTATAGTTGACTCTTCGCTTCCACTTAGCATAACTAATATTCCTCAGCCGAGGTTGGCCTCGATCTCAGGGAACCAGCTGCTTCTGCCTCCCAAGTGTTGGAATTAAAAACATGCACCCTCATCACCTAGCTAATTCAATTTAATTTTTAAAAATTCACTTTATGGAACAAAAGTAAAGCATATATACAATATACCAGAAGTTACCTCTGTAATATTCTGTATTTTGCAAGTTTATTTACGAAGAAGCATTCTATTTATTTAAATTTTATTTAGCTTTATTTTATGTGCGTTGGAATGAAAGTGTCAGATGCTCTGGAACTGGACAGGTATGAGCTGCCATGTGGGTGCTGGGAATTGAACCCAGGTCCTCTGGAAGAGCAGCCAGGTGCTCTTAACCACTGGGCCATCTCTCTAGCCCTTGTTTTTTGTTTTTTTTTTTTAATTTATTTTGGTTTTTGGAAACAGGGTCTCTGTATGTGACCCTGGCTGTCCTGGAACTCATTATATATAGACCGGCCTCAAAAGTCACAGAGATCCACTTGCCCCCAACCCCATTTCTGGAATTAAAATCATATATCACCATGGTCCCTCTTACTGAGAAACATTCTAACCAGAGAAATAGATTCTCTCTGTGAAATCTGATTAGATTAGCAAGGCTATCATAAATTCCTGCTCCCTATAATCACATTGTAATCATTTGCTATTTCCCTAATAAAATTGAAATCAATGTTTGGGTGATAACTTTTGCCTTTCAAGGGCCTACCTAGCATTTAACTTAACACACAGAAAAACTTACATTGTCAAGTGATAGGATATTTTGACTAGTGACACCAGTCTAGTATCAGCTAATCATTTTGGATATCCAAAGGGATTATTAAATGCCTCCTCATTTTGCTTCTTGGTGGCAGTCTAATACTCCGAGCCATCGCTATCTCAGAATAGAAAATGAGCTTCACAGTTCTATTTCCTCTTCCTAAATACTCTTGTCTAGGATTTCCACGTAATAATACAACCTGATGGAGAAAACAGACGCGTTACTGTGTGTGTGTTGATTTTGATTTGATTTAATATGAATGCTTTTAAGATTGGGTCTCACTATATAGCCCCAGCTGCGCTGAAACTCATAATCCTCTCGTCTCGCCAAGAGTGCTGGATGACAGGCACACATTACTAGGCATTTCTCCCATGTGTGACTTCAAGCCCTGTTTTATTAGAATATGTGCTGTTGTGTTAAAGGTCTGCGCAGCTGTCACATACAAGATCTGGAATCTGGTGATTGCATACTGTATGTATCAAGTGCCAGCATCTTGTCAGTATTACCTGACAATCTCCTGTTAATGATTAACAGGGAACTGTAAGATTAAGTTGCTAATGGTTGGTGGTAGCGCATGCCTTTAATCCTAGCAGTCCAAAATGGCAATCCTACCTCCAGGAAACTCAGAATGAGACTGTGTGTGAGAGCTGTCTCCTCTCATTTTATATTTCTCTCTAGGGCTGGGATTAAAGGTGTACACCACTACTGCCCAGTTTCTATGGAAAACTAGTGTGGCTACTGGGATTAAAGGTGTGTCACCACTGCCTGGTTTATAGGGCTGATCAGTGTGGCTGTTTTACTCTGAACGTAAGGCAAGCTTTACTAAAATACAAATGAAATACCACAATTATTTGCAAACGTTTTGGGCATTTCTACTTGGGAGTAATCCTTGAAAAGTATGAAAATGCTTTCGGGAAACCCACAAACTTCTAAAACTACAAATATTTGGCAAATGTTTTTGGAGGACATACAAATATCAAGATTTCTTTTCTCACTTTCGGTTATAAGAGGGGGCCCTAAAATTAAGACTAACTCTTCTCTCTTTGACTTTCTCTTTGGTACAGTCAGAGCTGTTAGCACTGGGACAGCCTTCTTTGCTAGAGGTTATTCCCTACAGCTGGTAAGCAATATTGTTTGAGATTTTTCCCTTATGTGGGTGGCTGGTTTTATGTTAACTCAACGCATGCTAGAGTCAGAGGAGAGCAGTAAGCCTCAAGTGAGAAAATGCCTCTCTAATATAGGACTGTAGGCAAGCCTATTGGGCATGTTCAAATTAGTGATTGATATGGGAGGGCCCAGCCCATTGTGAGTAGTGCCACCCCTGGGCTGGTCTTAGGTGCCTTAAGAAAGCCAACTTAGCAAGCCATGGAGAGCAAGCTAGTGAGCAGCACTCCTCCATGGTCTCTGCATCAGCTCCTGCTTCCAAGTTACCATCCTATTCCTCTGTGATATGGAAGTGCTAACTAAATAAACCCTTTCTTCCCCAAGTAGCTTTTGGTCGTGATCTTTCTTCACAGCAATAGAAACTGTAACTAAGCCACTGCAATATTACATATTTTCTCATTATTCCTCACTTCTTGAGAGATTTCTTGCATTACTGCTATATCCCTAATGCAAAACAAAGATCAGGATTGTACACTTAGTAGTGTACAATCCTATCTAAATGATTCAAATCATCCTGAGAAATAGCTGACAGGTTGAACACTCACTATTGCAAATACTACAAATGGCCCATGTAAGATTTTTTTATTACTGGACTAAGGATGTAGTTCAGTGGAAGAACTACTGGATACAACCCCCAGCACCAGATTGGGAGCAGATTTTTTATTTTAAAATAGTGCATTCTCTTTTTTAAATTTATTATTATTGTTTCAAGACGGTTTCTCCATAGCTTTGGAGCCTGTCCTGGAATTAGCTCTTGTAGACCAGGTTGGCCTCAAACTCACAGAGATCTGAGTGCCTCTGCCTCCCGAGTGCTGTGATTCTTAAAGCATAAAGGTTGCTGTGAACTAAATGTTTATGTCCCATACACACACACACACAGACACACACACACACACACACACACACACACACACACACACGTGTGAGAGTACATGAACTGGAGCCTTTAGAAAATGATTAGGTGTTTTGGGTGTGAATCCCTCATAAATATGATGAGGCCCCACCAGGCAGTGGTGGCACACACCTTTAATCCCAGCACTTGGGAGGCAGTGACAGGCAGATCTCTGTGAGTTCGAGGCCAGCCTGGTCTACAGTGCGAATTCCAGGACAGGCTCCAAAGCTACAAAGAAACCCTGTCTCAACAAACAAAAATAAACAAACAAAAAATATGATGAGGACCTTCATAAGAGAGATGTCATAAAGCTCCTTTCTCCTTTTGACCAAGTAAACAAACACTGAGGTGGCATTATCAGAAAATTTGAAGTGGACATCATTTGGACAGTGACTCTGTGTCCTGATCTTGAGCTTCCTTACCTCTAAAAGTGGAGGAGATAAATTTTTGTTGTTCACAAATTCCTCAAATTATATTTTGTTATAGCAAGCCAAGGAGACTAAATTATAAACACAATGTTTATATAACACTCAATAACATATAATGTAAAAACTCTAAGACCAAATTATTAACATAAGAATTTAATATTTATTATGATATTTATACATACAGTAATGCCAAAATGATGCTCAATAAGTTACATAGATTTTTTTGAATACTGTAAAAATACATGAGTAGGAATGATACCATGAGTTTATTATTGATACTTGAAAATAATCATGTATTTTTGAACACATTTGAATTGATGATTTCTACATGAACAAAAATGCTTTAATACAGAAACCACTTTTCCAATAATGCAATAAATGCTATCTAATAGCTCGATTTTATTGCACCTATTTGGTTTAGGTTCATTTGATCAGATGTCATGCAGAAAAATAAGCTGAGTATAAACTTCATGAAAGTAGGCAGGATGTTATTTTGTGCTACAAAAATTCACTGTGTGGTGACATTTCACAGCTAAATCGTCAGGAAATTTTATTCAACTATTGCATAAAATCACTAATTAGTCACACATGCAAGCTAAATGTTTTTAAATACAGTAATTTAGCTGTTGATATATTACTCTGAGCTGATAATAACAATCACTTCCTTGACCACTTAAATAGGTGATCATCATATAATTTTTTGAAACATTAAACAACGTATCTTAAATATAGATGTACATTTATTTATGTTACATTCACATAATTGGCACATCATCAAAATTTTACCATTTTAAGTATGGAAAAACGAGGGGAGAATTGGGGCTAAGGTACCCTGTAAACCAGTTTCTAGATTAAAAACGTCTCTCCTTTATTTTTCAAATTCACTGTGCCAAAACATTAAGTAGCTGAGTTGACCTGTAAACATTCTTGTTTATTTGTACTGTTTCCTGAGGTAATCTGGAAACTGTTGTTATTACAGTAGCCTCACGATTTAAAATTCCTACAAATGTGCTATGGAAACATCAAAATAAAAACACAAATTCAAGTGACCTTGAGTAACCTTTCTCTATTAGAAAAGCTTGATAAGAAATTTTTAGGTATCAAAATCAAACCTCTCACTCTCATTTTTAGAGGGCAAGAAAAGCAATCTAACTTTAGATGGTAAAAAAATACGCTTCAGCATGTCCTCAGTTAGCGCTAGGTTAACAATAAAAGTATTTGGTTTGCCTGCCACTGCTAGAATAACGTATAAAATCATACAGACTTAGGTTCTCCCATTTTAAAGGGTGATAAGATACTGTTATATGCTAGGTATGAGTATTCGTCTGGATCTCCCTCCCTCCCTTCCTCCCTCCTTGCCTTCCTCCCTCCCTTCAAGACAGGGTTTGTATTGCCCTGAAACTCACTCTGTAGATCATGCTGACCTTGATCTCAGAGACTGACCTGTCTCTGCCTCCTGAGTGCCAAGTGCCAGAATTAAAGACCAGGATTAAAGGCGTGCATCACCACTGATATTTTTAAAAATTTTTCTCTCATCTATTTTATTGCCACCACAGTATATCTCTCCCCTCCCTGCAGTTTACTTCTTAACAGGATCTTTTCTAGGAGAAAAAAAAGTAATTATTTACATGGGATGGGGGACAACAATTGCTATGACCAAGATGCCAACTTGAACAAATAAATTATTTTTCTAACTCCTTGTTCTGGTGCCAGTCTACTCCATGTCAATGGATTTTTATGAAACAAAAAATATTGAAAAGCTCTCTTTAGAGGACACAACTGTGCTCTGCAGATAAAATATATTTGTCCATCTTTAATATGAAAAGTCAATAGAATTACCATTGGAATTTCCTCCACAACTTAAAAATAGAATTTATTTATACAATAGTATTTTTAAAATATATCAAGACTGGGGACTTTATAATGTTACATACGTCAGAAAGGCTCAATCTTGGTTAAAGGTCTCTCCTGACTGACACAGACGGTTAGGATATTGAACCATTCCCATACATTTTGGTTCAATACCATGTGTCAGTAAACCACCTCAGTGATTATTTAAATTTTGGGTAGTAATATTTCTCATGCTAAGTTTTCACAGTTTAATCATTTGAATTCTAGAAGGGGAAACTATCCTGTGTTATTCCTTAATCATTTAAAGGAAACAGAAGTGGCAACCCTGTGCCCCATTAAAGTAAAAGCCAAGCCCACCTGAATTTTTGTGTTGCTGGGGATTGAAACAGTGCCTTGCGCAGGCTACGTGAGTGCTCAGTCACAGAACTACATCCCCAGCTATCCACATGCACTTTAAATGATGCTTATGAAGACAACACCCTGTTTAATATTTACTGAAGTATAGAAGTAGAAAATATATTATATTCCTTGTTAACGATAAGAATATGATTTTCTACCATTTACAAATATAGTTTGTTAATTTATAGTCCAAAGATATCCTTAAAGTATCCTACGTTCCTATATGGATTATCAACTTTTATTTACCAGTTCTATGTGCTAGAATTACTGATAATTTTATTTTGGGGAGCCAGTCACTTACAAATTATCTTTAACAGACTGCAAATGATTATGAAATGCTTTAATATTTTCAAATTTTCTAAGCAATAAGCTAATCAATACATTACTTGTAAACTCACACTACCAAAATTCCAGTGGCTCCTTTTTACATGAGCGAATTTGATGAACTATGAAAAAGTAATCACGCTGCATTAGGCACTAATTCCGACAGTTCTAGCAACATTCCCTGTACAGGAACACAGACACTGCTGCAAAGCCCTGAGATGATTTCAGTGGAGTGGGTACAAGGATGAACAGTTTTTCTGTCAGAGTTATAAACTGACTTCAGTATTTTACTAGAAAAACAAGCACATAAAAATGTGAAGTGTGATTCAAAACGGGCAAGATTTTAAAAGGCTAAAACAAAAAGTAAACTGTAACATCAGATGTATTACGTGCACGCAGGAAGGCTGTGTTATGCTTAGGAAACAGCATATTGAAGGATGACTCAGTTTACCATCATCTCTGAATGTTTAATGGTGAGTCACATCATAAAAAGGACTTTTCTACACTATCAAAAAAATTTGTTTTTTGAGAAAGAGATCTCCAAGGACATGAAAATCAACATGAAATACATTTTTACATTTAAGACTATAGATTTGAAAGCATTAACTGATTTGCTTTATCTAATTTTTTGAGACAGAGTTTCTCTGTGTAGTTCTGCCTATTCTGGAAATCACTCTGTAGTCCAGGCTGGCTCAAACTCGCGGAGATCAGCCTGCCTCTGCTGGGATCAAAGGTGTGTGCCACCACTGCCTGGACATTAATTTGTTTTCAAAGGATTCATCACGTGATGGAAAGGTTAAATAACACCGGAAGGAAGCACTATCCTAAGACCACAAAGGCACATTACATATATGGTTACCACTGCAGCACTAAAATAAAAATGAGATAAATAACAGTTGACAGATAATTATAGTATTCTTTCATAAAAAAGAAGGTAAGCTTGTGCACTAAGTGCTCTTGACTCTGGAACCACCTGCACATAAGTGTCGCTGACATGGACCCAATGGCCTTCCAATTCACTATCAGGTTCTTTCAAACCTAGCAGAACAAAAAGAACAATTTTACAGTTAGTGTGTTTACATCCTCTAAATTGTAAGCAGCAACACATACATCATAAAATATATTTAATTCTAACATCTTGTTTTATGAGTTTTTTCTTAGATTAAGTATTACCCAAAATGAACTAATTGTTTTAAGGCACCAATGTGTCTAATAAATTATACTAATAATTACTTGCAGTTAACAAAATTTTAAATATTTAGTGAAATACTTCTAATACTTAATTTCTCAGAGAAAAGATTCACTTTCACCAACAAGGAGGAAGGAGGAGCTTGAGAGATGACACAGTAAGGAAAGGTGCTTGCTGTACCAACCTGGCCACCAGTTTGATCCCTGGAACCCACACAAAGGTGGAAAGAGAAAACCGAGTATACAAAACTATTCTCTGGCCTCCAACCATATGCATATGTGCATACAGTAAACACACAGACACATAAATAATAAAGACATTTAAAAAACTAATAAAGGAGCTGGGTGTGGTGCATGCCTTTAATCCCAGCATGAGAGAGACAGAAGGAGGTGGATCTCTGTGAGGTCAGCCTGACCTATTACAGTGAGTTCCAGGTCAGACTATGTAGTGAGACCCTATGTCAAAACAAAAACAACAACCAACCAACCAACCAACAACAAAAACTAATAATAGAGAGGTGTACTATATTATTATTATCGTGTACTGCTCTTGTAGACGATCAGAGTTTGGTTCTCAGCGCCTATGCTGGGCACATCACAACCACCTCCAGGACATGCCCCTTCTGAACTGCATAAGCAACTGCATTCACAACTGCACATGCACACACACACATGCATACTCACACACAAATACCCATAAAAATACACCTTAAAAATACAGGGAATGGGGAAGCAAATCTAATGGTCTTTGAGCATAGCTAGCAAATTTCCATGCCCCACTCTTTGGAGGACCTCGTACAGCTTCAGAAGACTGGGTAGTGCTGCTGATGGAGTGGCTCAGTGGTCAGGAGCACCATCCACACAAGCCTGCTGATCTGAATTTGATCCCAAAGCCAGAATAAAAAAAGACAGAGAACAGTGTTGCTTATCAGTCATCCCAACAGCCCTATGGGAGATGGGAGGCAGAAACGAGGGTCACCCAGAAGTCCCCAACAGCCCTATGGGAGATGGGAGGTGGAAACGGGGGTCACCCAGAAGTCCCCAGGCCTGGAACACATACTGTTAAAAATCAAACAATAAAACTACTATCTCTTCTAACTAACTTTAAAAAAAAATCACTTGTCAGTTCATACTACATAAAAGGATACTACTTTGTGATTATTAAGATTCTTAAAGATTATCTAAGCAGACTTAAGATTAATAAAATGAATCTATAACTCACTTCTTTAAAAAAAAAAAAAAGATTCTTCCATCTCGAAGAGTAAAATATACTTACACAAAGAAACTGTATCTTGAAAAACCAAAAGAAAAAGAAGAAACTACACTTAGGATGGCGTACCTGGCACAGCTTTCCTCCCAGTGATATGCTCAGATAATCTCCTGGAGGGCGCTCTCACTTTCACATAAGCGGTGTAATGGCCTCCCCGCATTGAGCCGCTGTGTTCCACTACACCGTAGAGACCGTAGAGAACTTTCTCTCCAACACTTATATTCTTTCAAAGAAAAAGATTTAGTAAAATTCAGTTAAACACTGCAAGGAAAAATAAATGCCTAAGAGAAACATTCTTAAAATCATACCAAGAAGCTGGGCAGTGGTGGCACATGCACTCAGGAGGCAGGGGCAGTTGGATCCCAGTGAGTTTGAGGCCAGCCTGGTCTACAGACTGAGTTCCAGGACAGCCAGAACTGTTACACAGAGAAACCCTGTCTTGAAGAAATAAACACAAACAACAAAACAAAAACAAAACAAAACATACTGAGATACTTATGTGTCTCAATGAACAGAAAGCGCACTATGGAACAGCATTAGAAAACAGAACAGAGGGGAGACTATCAACCCCAAATTTATCCAATCTATTTTAATTACAACTGTCTGTATGTAGAAAATAATAATGATAGAGAGATAATCATCGAAACCTAAATCATGGCAAAATACAAGAAAGATTCCAAAAGGAGAAAGAAGAAATTATGCATTAAAATAGTATTATAGGAATCTTTGATTTATTTGTAAACTAATTCATTTTAGTTACTGTATTGATTTTTAAAGTGAGTTAGTATACAATTCATTTATGAGAAAAAAATCACATTTATGAGACAACAGGAAACATAAACACTAATATATGAAGGATATATTAAATGGCACTGTGGTTGTGTTAAAATGGGAGAGGGCTAGGAACATAAAGCCCAGTGCATGTGAGATGTCTTGAGTTCACTTGCCACCCCCACCCACAAAAAGAAAGCAATCTACATAAGAAAACATATGGTGGTTAGGGTGGTACAAGCCTGTAACCCCAGCAGCACTTGGAAGGCTGGGATGGGGGCTCATGAGTTGAGGACCAGTCTGGGCAACATCGTATCTCAAAAGATAAGCACAACAAAACAAAAACAGAAAAAGAACAGAGAGTAATCATTATATTTTAGACACGCACAATGAAGTGACAGCTGACATGTAAAAGAGCAACAATACCAGAAGACAAGGGGAAAAGCGTATGGCTGAGGACTGCCCACAGCCTGAGCCTTCTAGGAATGGATGATGGAGGTTCACTGTACTGTTCTGTCTACTTTTAAATACGTCAGACATTCCTCAAAAGGGTAATTCAAAACACAATGTTCTCAAAAACTAAACACTGAGCTTAAAAAGTGTCAATTTTTTTTTTCCTGGTTTTTTGAGATAGGATTTCTTCGTAGCTTTTTGGAATCAGTCCTGGAATGCGCTCTGTAGACCAGGCTGGCCTTGAACACACAGAGAACTGTGTGTCTCTGCCTCACTCCTGCTGGAAGGCAGGAGCAAGGATAGAAGGGACTGGCAGGCAGAGAGTATAAATAGGAGGAGAAAATGAGGAAGAGGAGGAACAAGAGAGAACAAGGGGAGGAGGATGTCAAGGGCCAGCTACCCAGCGAGCCAGGGATTGGGAGTGAAAGTAAGATATACAGAAGCAAGAAAAGGAAAAAGGGGGGCTGGAGAGATGGCTCAGAGGTTAAGAGCATTGCCTGCTCTTCCAAAGGTCCTGAGTTCAATTCCCAGCAACCACATGGTGGCTCACAACCATCTCTAATGAGGTCTGGTGCCCTCTTCTGGGCTTCAGGCATACATGCAGACTGAATATTGTATACATAATACATAAATATAAAAAAAAAGAAAAGAAAAGGAAAAAGTCCAGAGGCAAAAGGGATAATATGAGTTAAGAAAAGCTGGCAAGAGAGCTGGAGAGATGGCTCAGAGATTAAGCGCACTGGCTGCTCTTCCAGAGGCCCTGAGTTCAATTCCCAGCAACCACATGATAGCTCACAACCATTTACAATGAGATGTTGTGCCCACTTGTGGCCTACAGGCATACATGAGGACAGAACACTGTATACATAATAAATAAACAAACAGACAAATAAATAAATACGTCTTTAAAAGAGTTTGTTAAAAAAAAAAAGGCTGGCAAGAAACAAGCCAAGCAAAAGCCAGACATTCATAACTAAGAATAAGCATCCATGTACGATTTATTTGAGAGCTGGGTGGTGGGTAAAGGTAAAAAGCCAAAAGAGCAAAACCTCAACATGTCTTAATATGTCATACCTTACAGGCTGCAGCACAGAATGGTGCTAAGTCAAGGGTGAGTGGAAAATCTACGTGTCTGTTCACTTTACGAAGACTCAAGCCAGCCTTAAAAAGACAAAATAATTTTTTTAGTAAAACAATCTTAACTTTAAAGTACTATGTAAGTTAAAATCAAAAGTAGAATTCTAGAAGTTATTGTTCTCATAGATATAAATAAAATATGATTAATAATAGTCATCAAGTTTCACATATTAAAAATTAAATTTCATATATTGTTATTAGAAAGGTTATTTGTTCACAGAGGATTTTTTTTGCCATGAATAAGGTAAATAATTACTTTGTAGTTTTTACAACAATTAATGGAAAAATAAGTTTAATATGCTAAAAGCTAATCCTGACACATACTGTCATGGAAATGTGGTCAGCAAGAGTCAAGGATACCTAGCTCAGTGACTAATTAAAAATGAACTTGACTGTAGGCAATCTCATCTAGGTCAAGTCAGAAAATGGGGTACAAATGGATCTTATTAGGTTCTTTTCATTTCTAAAATTCAATGAAATTCACTCGCCATGAAAGAACTCAAACGCTGCAGTGATATTTTATTTGTATTTTAATAAATAAAGCTTGCCTGAAGATGAGAGTGCAAAGGTAAGCCACTAGAGGCCAGGGAGTGGTGGCATACACCTTTAATCCCAGGACTCCAGAGACAGAGGCAGAGGGATCTCTGTGAGTTCAAGGCTACCCTCTGCACCACACAAGAGACAGATCCAGATAGCAGTGGCTCACAAATTTAATCCCAGCACTAGGGAGGTGGAGACAGGAGTGAGATGGCTAGATGGAGAGAGGAGTATAAAGAGGAAGAGACACTGGCTGGAGTGTGGAGACACAGTGCAGTCCAGGCAGCCTGAGCACTGGTAGAGGTAAAGGTCTCTGCAGTGGCTGACTGCTCTGCTTCTCTCCCCTATATCTGTCTCCAGGTTTTATTATTCGTGCTACAGAACACTTGCACTTTTTCAATAAAAGTAAACGTTACAATGAACTTTCATGTTCATCAGTTCTACCTCTTTTTCTATTCTTACTTTCCAAAGCTAACCTTGAAAAATGTATGTTCTCTATTATATGGTAATAGAAACTCGTGGAGGGCTGGTGAGATGGTTGAGTAGGAGAAGGCAATTACTGTGTGATGACCTTAGTGTAATCCCTGGAACCCACAGAGAACCAACTCTAAAGCGGTTCTTTCACCTCCACAGGGGCATGTACACCCACACACAAATAACACACGTAAAACTTCTAAAATTTACAAAAAGAAAATACTAAGTCTGCAGTGTGCACAGACAAGCGTTAGCAGATGCCACCTTTTGTGCAGGGTCCCCGACATCACCGGTCCCCTCACTGCATACCAAGCAAACAACGCACTGTATCTGTCACACTGTATTCTGAGTTTTCTTGAAAGAAAAAAAAATTAGTTAAAAATATACCAACTAATGTTGCCCAGGTGATCTGTAGGTGTGTGTGTAAATGTGTGTGCTCTTTCATGTAGGTGTGCTCCTTCATGTACATGTGAACAGGCATGTGTACATGTACTGGGGATACACAGGAGATAGGAGGACAACTTCTGTGTCATTTCCTCAACTGTCACCACTTCGCTTTTCTGTTTGTTTGTGTTTTTGAGACAGGGTTTCTCTGTTTAACCCTAAGTGTCCTGGAACTCACTCTGTAGAGGCTGGCCTTGAACTCAAAGATCTCGGCAGATCTCCTTTATCTCCTGAGTGCTTAGGACTGAAGGTCCGCACTACCACCACCTGGCCATCACTTTGCTTTTTGAGATAGTCTCTTACTGGCCTAGAACTCACCAATTAGACTCCCTGGATGATCAACTTGTCTCTGCCTCCCCTCAGATGACATTTCAAACATATACCATCATGTCGAGTTCTTTTTTAAACGTGGATTCTAAGGATCAAACTCAGGTACTTCCTTTTACATGGCAGGCCTTTATGGACTAAGCCATTTCCACAGTCCGCAGATGATCATGATAAAAGGGTTCACATGATAGCCAATATGAAGTTATGAAATCATATCCAGGAATTCAACTTATATTCAATTTCTTTGCCTCTTTTTTCATCAAGTGACCTATATAAGCAACCAATACCAGCATTGAGATTATTCACACTAGTGAATATGTGTTTTTCCTCGTCCGTCTGAGGCTGCTGAGAAGCTATTTCGTCCTCTACAGAAGTTTGTATTCTCTCTTCTAGAGCTCAATATTTATCTATCGGGGTCAACGTCTTTCTTTAAAAGCTGTCTGCATAGTTATATAATCTATTTGGTATGTCTATGACAAAGATCTTGAATAGAGGTTTGCTTTTAAGTGCTGTGACTGGTTCTGAAATATAGCTCTAATTTAATACAGAGAAACAAGATTTTAGGGATATTATGAAACAAAATGTTAGATATTATTAGGAACTCGTCCCCACCATTCCCAACCCTTGGGAACAAGGCTGTGGCTTTGTTGAGGTTACATTCAGCTTCAGAACAAAAAAGGATTGAAGTCCTTTTTAAATAGTCCCCCTGAAGCACACAAGATTTTTAAGTTGTTCCTAAAGAGGATAGACGTACCAAACACAAAAGAAGTTAGTCTCTGCGTCCGGCACGCCCTTCTTTGGTCACAGTCTGTGGAGGAGAACTATACCAAGCACTGGAATGAAATGCCTATTCCTGTAACTCTGGCTCTGGAGAATCAGGAGCTTTTTTTGTTGTGTTTTGGTTTTTTTGTTTTTGTTTTTGTTTGAGATAAGGTCTTTCTCCACAGCTCTGGCTGTCCTTGAATTGAGGAAGATTCCCCCTGCTTCCCCCACCCCAGTGAAGAGATTCAAAGTGTGAGCTTTAATCACTAACAAATATCTAACTCTTTCCTTTTCCCTCCCTCCCCTTCTCCTTCCCCCTCCTTCCTTTACTAACCATGTTACCAACTGAATGATTTTCTTAGTCCTCGATTACTAACTTTTATTATTTTAATTAATTAATTTATTGATTGATTGGTTTTTCGAGACACGGTTTCACTGTACCTTTGGAGCCTGTCCTGGAACTAGCTCTTGTAGACCAGGCTGGCCTCAAACTCACAAAGCTCCTCCTGCCTCCCAAATGCTGGGATTAAAGGCATGCACCACTACTGCCGGCAACATTAACTTTATTTTAAAATACAAAACAAACAAACAAACAAACAAAAAACCCTCTAACTTAAAAAAAGAAGTTAGTGCTGGTAGTGGTGGATCATGCCTTCAATCCCAGTACTTGTGGGGCAGAGTCAGGCAGATCTCTGAGTTTGAGGCCAGGGTGGTCTACAAAGCGAGTTTCAGGACAGCCTGGGCTACTCAGAGAAACCCTGTCTCAAAACAACAAAAACAAAAGAAGATACTTAGTAGTCTATATTTATTTCAACTTCCCAAGACTATGCTTTTAATCTAAAAAAGAAAAGAAAAGGAAAACATAGCAAGCTATGTAGATCAGTGGCAGAGCATATCAGCCTTGTAAACAGAATGCCCTATGTTCAAACCAAACACCAGAAAGATAAACAAAACCCCACTGAACAAGATAAAAGTTAAAATGATAAACAGTGAGAGGAAGCCATCTTTTCTTTGACACTAAAAACATCTAGGTGTCCTGTCCTGTGTCTGTCCCCCCACCCCCACCCCACCCCCCATCCTGCAGTCTTGTAGAGCCTCCCTTGAAGCCTTCCTGTGCTGGGTCCCTAGTCAACACTGCCCAGCCCAAACACAATCTCAGCCTGGTCATGAGGGCTCAGAAAGCGGTGTGGGCTTTGCCTTTTTGCTCCTTTAATTCTTTTTGATAACATTTAGTCTCCATTCAAACACACCTGTGACCACATGCCACTTAGAGACGTCACTGAAGTTCCTAGCACTTAAATCTTGCAATACTTTTCAAAACTGTTAATCAAGCCCTCCTTGCCCCCACCACCAATGCAGGACATCTCACATGACAATTTTTTTAATTCAAGGAAATGCTTAACCATTTCCCATAGGACTCAGGGCTCTGCAAACATATGCCGAAACTGACTACAGTGTTAGTAAATGGACTATTATTACCTGGTGGAATCTTTTAAGATGAAGAATCAGGACAGCTGGAACAGCAGATATAAGCAGTTGCTTCCTGGCATTCGTATAAACTCCTCCTGCTTTCTTTTCTGCATAAAATACAACCAAGTTACTTATAAAATTCCATTGAACATATTACTTAGAATGTGATAGAATGTGCTGGCATGCATCCTTTTTTTTTTTTTTTGGTTTTGTAAGATAGGGTTTCTTTGTAGCTTTGGGGCCTGTTCTGGAACTAGCTCTTGTAGACCAGGCTGGCCTTGAACACACAGAGATCTATCTGCCTGCCTCTGCCTCTCAAGTGCTGGGATTATGGGTGTGCGCCACCACCGCCACCATTGTTTTCATTTTTTAAAGACAGGGAGGGTCTCTGTATGTAGCCCTGGCTGTACTGGAGGTCTCTATGTAACCAGAGATCTGCCTGTCTCTGCCTCCCATATGCTTGGGCTTCAGGATGTGTCCCTTGGCTATCACACAGGGTCTGGGACCAGTTGTTGGGTCTACATGTTTGTTTCAGGAAACACTTTACCTACTAAGCCCTCTCCCATCCTGTGCAATAGGGCAGTTGTCAATGAGAGTAGTTTTTCCAGTCATTAAAGCTAGTCATGTAGGGAAAATTCATCAGATGAGAATGCCCTCTTTAACCAAGCAAACACTAGATTCATGGCATAAACATGTTTCTAGGCGATTGAGGGCCTTTGGGAAGGCTAGCAATCTCAAATCACACTAGTGATTCAGTTGTAAATTTTAGGGATATTTTGGTAAGGTTTCAAATCCCTTAGATGAGAATACATCGATTTGTATTTTCAAGACACAGATACATATATATACTTCTTGTTCTTTAGTGACTGCCACGTCTACTGGGAATCTACTTTGCCTGGCCAGTGTCCTGAGTGCAGAGACACCGGTCAGTGGGACAAGGCCTGCGACAGTGGCTCAATGCACACAGGTTCTTGGAGTGGCCCCATTAGGGAACTATGGACCACCTGCCGCCTACCCTCCATCAGGAAGCAGGAACAAAGCAAGGAGATGCTCACCTGCAGAGCTGGCTTCCTTCTGGCACTGCTGTCTCTTCTCGGTGCAGTCCTCACAGAGCAGCTTATTGTTGCCCATTAGCAGCTCCATGGACGTGAACTGGTAGAGACAGGACTGCACAGAGCACTCTTTAGAAGTCGTTACATAGCTCTGAGAAAGAGTCTGAAAAGCATTTTGGGCGCTATGAAACCTCATATGTTTTCCCTCTGAAAAACACAAATTATTGGGGACATTTAGTGGATGTTTTTCCCTGTCAAAATCTCTATTTCCAATTACAGGGCTGCCCAAATGAAGTTCAGCAATCGCTTCAGTCATTTCCTCGTCAACACTGTGAGTCTCCGTGGTGTGTGGCAATTCACTTGCCAATGAGACGTGCGGGTGCCGATCTGTGTGCCCGCAGGAATCGCCACTGGGTCGGAACAGCACAGTTTGCTGGGATGTGCTCTCGGATTCAGAGGCTTCGCTGTCGGCGTCGGCACTGCTTTCAGAAAGGCCGGCTTCCTTCTCACTGCCGTCGGTGGGGCTCTCGTTCAGTGACGACTCGGTACTCATGATGCTGGCAAACCGGCTCCCTTCAAAGTTTTCATCCTTCTGATGCAAAACAACAGTTCTCTCTTCTCCAGATGGCAATTCTCTTAAAGGTTTTCTGTCATGACTCAGTGAATTCTGTAGATTGACAATATTTTTCAGAGAAAAGAATCTTGAGACCTTATGGGAAACAAATGCCACTAAGTCCTATTTAATTGCCCATGATTCTCTGAAATCCATTTCAAAATCTACCTTAATGAGAATCAACAGATGATAGACTAACTTGCTCTAATTTAAAGCTAAACTGTTACCCAGGAGACTAACAACAGTGGCTGCTGTGTGTGGAGAAGGAAATAGCACTTCTGTAGAAGGGCTATAAGAGAGACTTAAACCTTTCATGTAGACATAAGACATCTATTTCCACCATTATGTATTTGGTCTAGTAAAGAGCCCATAGTAAAAGATGAATAATAGCCAGGCAGTGGTGGTGCATATCTTTAATCTCAGGATTAAATTAAATTAAATTAAATTAAAAAAAATCTCAGGATTAAATTAAATCTCAGGAAGGCAAAGAGAAAGGAGGCCAGCCTGTGAGTTAGAGGCCAGCCTGCTCCAGGACAGCCAGGACTATATAGGGAGTCCTTGTCTCAAGACAAACTGATAAACAAACAAAACCAAAACAAAGCACCACAAGCTAAAAGTCATTACACACTCATATTCTACTAGCCAGCGCTTTAGAAAAGCACATCAGAACCTGAAGTGCCTTCATCGCTTCCAACCCACAAGGTTCCAGTCAAAGCACTTCTGTTCTCCATTGTCAGAAAAAGGCATGTGTTCAAGTATATTAGCCACGCTAAGAATCTTATGAGGTAGAAACGAGACAGGCTTTACTAGATTATACCTGTAATCCCAGAACGTGGAATGTTGAAGCAAATTTCAGGCCAACCTGAGTTAAATAGTAAATTTCAGGCTAGCCAGAATTATAATACAAGACTCTGTCTCAGAAGAAAAAGAAAAAAGAAAATCCAGACAGACAAACAGATGGACAGATAACAAGTAAGATAAAAATAACAAGAGAAAACCACACATTCTGTCTTTTATAGTTTTGTCACTGATAAGACTTCTAAAAGTTTGCCAAGTCAGTACAAATTATTTCATATAAAAAGCAGTCTCCTTAAATACAAATTCAGAGTGATTTCTATTTTAATAGAATAGTTAACAAACAGACATGTCTCTAGAAAATTAAGGTATTGGCAAGATGCTTGAAGAGCTAGCAATATGGAAAGAGACACCAAAAACTATATATCCCTACTTGGTGGGAATATAGACAACCATGTAAAAATCAGCATCTCTCCTCCCTCTGCCCAGATCCATTTCCCCCATTTTGTTTTGTTTACAGTTTCAGAGACAAATCTTGCTACTGTAGTTCAGCCCAGGCCAGAATCACTATGAAGCTTATCTTGAATTCCTCCTGCTTCAGTCTCTTGAGTGCTAGAAATATAAGCATGTACAACCATACCTGGATGGAAGATGTCATGGTGAAAGTTAAATAAACTAAAATTTGACCTCTAAATCTAATTGCAGTAGAGAAAAAGTAACAGAGAGAGAGCCTGCCAGAGTCATCGAAACTCAGTAGCAAAATGAATTGCTGTTGAACGTGGGAAACTATTAACAAAGGGATTGCACTGCTTCAGTGGATAGATTCAAAGAATGAATCTGTAGATTATAAAGAGATTAAAAGTGTGCTAATCAACTGTAATCTGTTGACCCTTCTTTTAGATCATAAATCCAAACTTTAAAGCATATTTGATATTACTAATGAGTTAACTGATGATTTTGAAATATATGCTGGTACTTTGGTAATGTTTATAGATAGCATCTTCATTTTGTGCTTTGTTGTTGAACATTTGAGCACGCGCAGGACTCCATCCTGGGCTCCTAAAAAGTAACTTTTAGTGGTGTACTTTGAAGTACGTAATATTTTTGGGATTTCCTTCAGAATAACCTGGGCTGGGGAACGAGGAAGTGATGGATGTACATGGTAAAAACACGATCAGCCATGAACTGGTTGTTGTAAAGCTGAGAAAAAGGAGGGGGAGTGTCTTTTAGATACTGCTGTTTCTATCTGTTAACATGCTGGAGGCTTTTCAAAATAAAAGTACTAAAAACATACCCCCCATAGTCTCACTTGCCTTCTCTTTAGGTGAGGAATGCTTCTTGGCAGCTCTGGGGTGATGGGTATTTTCTACAGTAACGGTGCCGTTGTTATGATCTCGGTCTGTCTCCTGTAAACTTCTGCATTTATTCATTTTTCCCAAAAGTACAGGTTTTGAAACCTATGTAACATAAAACATTTTAAGTAAATAAATTCTTTTCAAAATTCCTAACTTACTAGAAATGCCAAAGGGTAATTTTCTTTTTTTGAAATAATTGTTAAATTACTTTATTAGAATGAGTGTTCTTGTCATGTATGTCTGTGGACCCACTTGCATGCATTACCCATAGAGGCCTGAAGAGGGCGATGGATGTCCAGGACCTGGAACTGGGATTGGAGAATGTGGTACTTTGAATGGCCCCCATAATCTCATAAGGAGTGGCATTATTAGGAAGTGTGGCTTTGTTGGAGTAGGTATGGTCTTGCTGGAGGAAATGTGTCTCTGTGGGGGCAGGCCTTGAGGTTTTCCTTTTTTTTTTTCTTTCTTTTTTTTTTTTTAAAGATTTATTTATTATGTATACAACATTCCTTCCATGTATGCTTGCATGCCAGAAGAGGGCACCAGATCTCATTATAGATGGCTGTGAGCCACCATGTGGTTGCTAGGAATTGAACTCAGGACCTCTGGAAGAGCAGTCAGTGCTCTTAACCTCTGAGCCATCTCTCCAGCCCCGCCTTGAGGTTTTCTATGCTCAGGTTCTCAGTCAACTTCCTGTTGCCTGCAAGATGTAGGACTCTCAGATATTCCTCCAGTACCATGTGTGCCTGCATGCCGCCATGTTCTCTGCCATCATGATAATGAACTGAAACTTTGAAACTGTAAGTGAGTCACTCCAATTAAATGTTTTCTTTATAAGAGTTGTCATGGTCATGGTGTCTCTTCATAGCAATAAAAACCCTAACTAAGACAAGACAACTGTAAGCTCACAAGTCATATGGGTACTCAGAATTGAACCCAGGTCCTCTGGAAACACAACCAGTAATTTAACTGCTGAGCCTTCTCTCCAACCCACTTTAAAAAGGTAATTTTCTTAACAATTTCAAAATACAAATGTTGGAATAATCTTTTTGCATACTGTGTAAAGATGTGTCTCTGTTTTACTTCACCTGTCTAAGGCATCCTGACTGGTTTTGTAAGGAGATGAATGGCTAATAGCTAGGCAGGAAGAGGACAGGCAGGGCTTCTAGGCAAAGATAAGCACTCTAGGAAGGAATCCAAGGTAGGAAGGAGACTTGCAGCCTGACTGAGAGGAAGTCGGACATACAGAACTGAAGAGAGGAAACAAGCCACGTGGCAGAATGTAGATGAATATAAATGGGTGAATTTAAATTTTTTTAAAGACTTATTTATTTATTATGCATACAATGGTCTGTCCTGCAGACAGAAGTTGGCACCAGATCTTATTATTGGTGGTTGTGAGCCACCATATGGTTGCTGGGAATTGAACTCAGGACCTCTGGAAGAGCAGTCAATGCTCTTAACCACTGAGCCATCTCACCAGCCCCAATGAATTTAAGTTTGAAGAGCTATTTGGAAACAATCTTAAGCTAAGACCAAGCTTTCATAATTAATAAAAACTCTCTGTGTCATTATTCGGGAGCTGGCGGACTGTTGAAGATCTAAGGAAACACATACACTTTATGCACATGTACAGAACCCTGGTAATCAGATACACTACGCAAACCCAGTTCTGTGTAAACGACATGACTTTGAGAAACTGATAATAAGCTCAATAGATGCTTGAAGAATGAATGCACGCCCTTCCCAGGAGTTTCTTGGTTCCTCCTCCTTACCCTTTCCTCTATGATAGGAAGGGAAATATCAATGAAGGGGTCCTTCATGGTGGAGACCTTGAAAAAAGAAAAAAGCAGATTAAGAACGTCAGTTAGAGTCTAACATAGATACACACTGTTGTCAATGAGCAAAACAAATCAAACTTCCCAGGTGACTTCAAGTCTCAAGTTAAGACAAAATATGAAGTGTTAAATAAATAAAAAAAAAAAGCAGAAAGCTGGGGCATGCTTTTAACCCCAGAGGCAGGTGGATCTCTGTGAGTTTGAAGACAGCCAGGACTGCTACACAGAGAAACCCTGTGTCCAGAAGAGAGAGAGAGAGAGAGAGAGAGAGAGAGAGAGAGAGAGAGAGAGAGAAAGCATAGATGACAATGTTTGACTGATTTCTTAGGAAAATTCTGCTTTTGAAGATATCTATGTAAGAGAGAAATCAGTGTCTGTGCCCAAAGTTCTTTAAATCTTGGAAAAAGGTATAGTCACCTTCTATGTTTTAATGTCATAGGCAAGAGGAGATACAATAACCCTAGTTTTATAAAATTAGGGAGGGCAGAAAAACTAAACATTCAGACTCTTTATTAAAATCTAATAAAGTTTAACCTATCAACTCGGTCACATTTTTAGAACTATTTCTTATCAAGCAGTTGAAAAATCTATAAAAATGCATGCATGTTTTATGTTCTTATAGACAGTATTAAAATAAGAGTTAATACTAAATTCAAAGATTTGAGTCAAGACACACACACACACACACACACACACACAAACTAAATCAAGTGTGACAGTCTTTTTATATGACCGCAATTTAGGGCACCACACTGTGACCGTTACTCGTTTCTCACCTCAACCTAAATTAGAAGCTCATATATCCGATCATATTGAGATGGCTGGCTTATCAGGCACGGTGGAATATACCTGCAGTCTTACCGCCTGGGAGGCTGATATGGAAGAAACAGTTCAACGCCAGCCTGGGCTACATATACACAGCAAAACAGGGAGGGGAGCCAAGAAAAGTGAAGTAAGAATAGACTCAGGTAAGGCAAGAGGAAAAATGAAATCATAAAAACAAACACGTTTACGTAGAAAAACTTAAAAAGGTGCTTACTTTTTAGAAGTGACAGGTGTATTTTACAAGCATTACTATGTAGTCACCTATCACAGGTCTTTTTAATGACTTTCAACACTGCATGTAGAAGAACACCTCTTTGCTGCCATTACCACTAGCTGTTGTAAGTCAGAGCAAGTAAACAGCAAGCTGACTGCAGGAGAAATGCACTCTCCTCAGGATTACCTGAGCTGCTGTGTTCTTTCTCCATCTGATCGCTACAGGGAAGTTAACTGTGCTGGCTGCTGCCATAACAGGCATTTCTGCTTTCCTCATTAACAGGTCTTGTGTGCTAGAAGCTTTGGCATCTCTGAGCTCCAGCAAGCACTTGAGTCTTCATAAAGGAAAAGCAGTTCACTTACATAACACTGTCATTTCTAGGACACCACTAATGTCCTTGAAGTGGCTTTAGTTGTGTGAAGTGAGGTTGGGAATCTGAATTGTTATTGCAAAGTAATCGTTACTGAAAGTAAGTCTATCAGTTTATCAAACAGCTATAAATAACCACTGTGACACTTGAGAAATAAAGCACAGCACAACAGAAACAATGTGATTGAGGTGTATCCCATGAAGTGAATTCTAGGTACATACATTTGCACATTCTTCACACATGACTGTGCTTGTTAATTCACCAATAAAGATCCGATCTATGAAGTTCATCTTCACGCCTTCTTTTCCGTAGGCTGTAAAAAGCACCCACTTTTTAATTAAAAAATTCACAAAACACGGATCCAACAGTTACATGCCATTATTTGTGTATTCAAAAGTTATCTGGATAAAGTATAGCTTCCATATTATATTCAATAATGTATTTATTATATTATGCTACTTCTTTCTCCTTTACATTCCGTAAAGGAAATATGAGTATTAAGTACCACGATGTGTAAGAATTAACCTCAAGCAGGTTCCAGGGACTGAACTCATGTCATCAGGGTTGGCAGCACACACCTTTATTGACTAAGTCATCTTGCCAGCCAAAACTATTTCTAAGAGGTAAAATAAGTATAACAATTGATGTGGGATTCCCCTCTGTATGCTGTGAATACCACTGGCTAATAAAGGAACTACTTTGGGCCTATATCAGAGCTATAGGGGAACAGAGCTAGGTGGGGAAAACTAAGCTGAATGCTGGGAGAAAGGAGGCAGAGTCAGGGAGAAGCCATGGAGCCACCCTGGGAGACAGACATGCTGAAACTTAGCTGGTAGGTTACAACCTCATGGCAATACACAGATTAATAGAAATGAGTTAAATTAATATGTAAGAGTTAGTCGATAAGAAGCTAGAGCTATACAGAGTCAACGCAATGCTCAGCAAAATCCCAGCAAAATTCTTCAAAGACCTCGAAAGAATGGTACTCAGTTTCACATGAAAAGGCAAAAAACCAAGGATAGCCAAAACAATCCTGTACAATAAAAGAACTTCTGGAGGCATTACAATCCCTGACTTCAAACTCTACTACAGAGTTACAGTACTGAAAACAGCCTGGTATTGGCATAAGAACAGACAGGAGGACCAATGGAACTGAATCCATACATCTTTGAACACCTGGTTTTTGAAAAGGAAGCAAAAAATATCAAATGGAAAAAAAAGCATATTTAGCAAGTAGTGCTGGCATAACTTGATATCAACATGTAGAAGAATGAAAATAGACCCATATCTATCACCATGCACAAAACTCAAATCCAAATGGATCAAACACTTCAACATAAAGCCAGCCATACTGAACCTTATAGAAGAGAAAGTGGGAAGTACACTTGAATGCATTGGCACAGGGAACCACTTTCTAAATATAACCCCAGCAGCACAGACACTGAGAGAAACAATTAATGAGACCTTCTGAAACTGAAAAGCTTCTGTTAAGAAAAGGACACGGTCAACAAGACAAAATGACAGCCTACAGAATGGGAAAAGATCTTCACTAACCCCATATCACACAGAGGTCTGATCTCCAAAATATACAAAGAACTCAAGAAACTGGACACCAAAAGAACACATAATCCAACAACAACAACAAAAAATGGAGTACAGACCTAAACAGAGAAATTTCAACAGAGGAATCTAAAATGGCTGAAAGACACTTAAGGAAATGTTCAACATCCTTAGTCATCAGAGAAATGCAAATCAAAACAACTCTGAGATTCCATCTTACACCTGTAAGAATGGCCAAGATCAAAAACACAGATGACAACTTATGCTGGAGAGGTTGTGGGGAAAAGGGAACACTCCTGCATTGCTGGTGGGAATGCAAGCTGGTCCAACCCCTTTGGATATCAGTGTGGCGATTTCTTAGAAAATCAGGAAACAACCTTCCTCAAGACCCAATAATATCACTTTTGGATATATATCCAAAGGATGCTCAATCGTGCCACAAGGACATGTGCTCAACTATGTTCATAGCAGCTTTGTTTGTCATAGCCAGAACCTAGAAACAACCTAAATGCCCCTTGACCAAAGAATAGATAAGGAAAATGTGATACATTTACACAATGGAGTACCACACAGCAGAAAAAAATAACGACATCTTGAATTTTGCAGGAAAATGGATGGAGCTAGAAAACATTATTCTGAGTGAGGTAACCCAGACACAGAAAGACAATTATCACATGTACTCACTCATAGGTGTTTTTAAAACATAATGCAAAGAAAACCAGCCTACAAACCATAATCCCAGAGAACTTAGACAACAATGCGGACACTAAGAGAGACTCACATAGATCTAATCTACATGGGAAGTAGAAAGAAAAAGACAAGATCTCCTGAGTAAATTGGGAGCATGGAGACCTTGTGGGAGGTTTGAAGAGGGGAGAAGAAAGGCAGGGAGGGGAGCAGAGAAAAATGTAGATCTCAATAAATATCAACTAAAAAAAGAAGCTAGAGCTAATGGGACAAGCAGTGATTTAAATAATACAGTTTCTGTGTGGTTATTTTCATTCTGGGCGACCAGAACGAACAAGCGGCTCCTTGCAACAAGCAATGACTACTAACTTATATCACACCCCAGCTACTCCCACTAATCTCTTTTGATGCCTCTGTTCCTAGTGTAGAGGTAGACCGACCAGGGAAAATAACAGTCTTTGAGGCTAAAGATTCCAGAGCCACGGCTATGAAAGGGGATGTAAGAAACAGGTATGTGAAGCACAGTGTAAGAAGTGACCATGGGCAATTAATAACTCATGTGAACATGTACATACGTGTGCCTGGTGATTACTTTTAAAAGCTGAAATTATTGTGTTTATGAAGTCCTTACAGATCAAAGGAAACTGTGCTAATGGTTTACTTTAAAATAGCCACGTATTGGATGATACTGACCAAACAATATGCTATGAATGTAGCTAAGTTAGGTGACACACACACACAAGAAGAGGCATTGTGCTAATCCTTCTGTTTGGACAGATGTTTAAAGTTTTCTGAGACAGAAAGTATATTAATAAAACTGTTCATCTTGCTTTCAAACTCCTATCCTTTGCAAGCCTCTACCTTCAGAGAAAGTGTAGAAAATTATTAAAAGCATTATCCAAAGCATTTAATAAGAGAAGATATACTTTAATACCAATAGACATTTTATAGTAACTATTAAGAAATACAGTGTTTCATTAAGAAAAATCGAACAAGGGATTAAAAGGAGAACTGACAAATGGAAAGAAACCAGGGCTGTTGCAGCCAACCTGCACTAGATGGCAGCATCACAGCACAGAGCAACAAGGTGCACACTGGAGACATTAAGTCCTCCAACTGCCCCCACTTCCGAGATAGGGTCTCACTATGTAGCTCTGGAACTTACTATGTACACCAGGCTAGCCTCGAACTCAGAGAGATCCACCTGCCTCTGCCTCCCAAGTGCTGGGATTAAAGGCCTGTGCCACTACACCTGGCTGAGAAAGTAAGTCGTAAACCTGAAACTACAATAGAATATTAGAGCACTTACTTATCAATTATAGTTATGTATTATAAACAGTTTAATACTACAAAATAAAACTCAGAAATAAGCGCCCTTTATAATGATGACTTCATACTAATATAGTATTCCAAGGCAGAACATACACTGAAGTAGGAATTGGGTGTCACAGGACACACACTCAAACTGCAGTATCTAGAAGTCACTGGCTTGGCTTACATTGACAGGCATGTAGCGAACGCCGGAGCAGGCAGAATGTGCTGCTATTTGTAGTCTCTGAAATAAACAGTGAAACTGCAATGTCTTTAGAGCATAGGGTCATGTTGTCTAGATAAAACAAGGAGATGGAATTGCCCTCTGAACTGACCTCGATACCCTCTCTACAGAGGTGGCGAACCAATGGCTGATACTGATGTAGGTGACAATGTAGGTACAGGGGCATAGACACAAAGGGGGAAATGTTTGTGATAGTGAACTAGACAGAGCAGCAAACTGTTCTTCAGACAAGTGTCTCCCAGCCTAAATCAGAGATGCCCACCCTAAATGAACAGTGATGAGTGCATACTCATGAGTGCCCCAGGAGCAGAGAACAGAGCCAGTGTGGGCCCTTCCCCATACACGTCACCTACACCAGTCTCTCTAAGGCCCGGAACACTGCGGATGAGGGGCAGCAAGTATGTAAGAGCCAGAAGAAGGGTGAAGGGCTATAAAATGTCATTTCCTAGATGGGATGCAACTACCATAATCATCAACTCACACCAACCGTAGTTATTGCAACAGGACCACACAAGACCAGAATTATCAATAAACCAAGGCACTCTTGGGGCCCTACCTCTGAACTACTGGCTAGCATTAGACTCTGGAAAAGGAGACACCACTGTCTTTTGTGCCCCCCCATTCCCACTGATCCCCTTTTCCTTGTCCCTACAGAAGCACGGGTACAGACTGCTATTTACAGATGCATGGCATCTTACCAGTGGTTAGACTCTGAAAAAAAGTCTCCCTCTAGCAACCTCAAGCAGCATTTCTACTCTCAGGGAAGCATGAGCTTTCTGGTCCTTCCACTCTTCTCAACATGTTTGTTCAGGGACTGGGAAATCACAGACACTGAGAGTTCTGGGGTGCAAGGTAGGCTATGTCCAGAGGAAAGTGTTCTCCAACACTCTCCCCTTCCCTGCCCCCCTAGGCTCTTAGATGCTTCCCCCACCCACTCTGCAATGTTCCTTGAGTCTTACAGGGATGAAGAAACCTTTATTATATTGCTCTACAACGCACTTTTCTTTTCTTTTTTTGTTTTTTTTTTTTTTGGGACAAGGTTTCTCTGTAACTTTTGGAACCTGTCCTGGAACTCGCTCTGTAGACCAGACTAGTCTTGAACTCACAGAGATCCACCTGCCTCTGCCTCCTGAGTGCTGGTACTAAAGGCATTCACCAGCACTGCCTGGCTATCCATAAGGTACCTTTAACAGAACCGACCTACCTTTGACTTTTTTTCTAGTTTCATCATCAGCAGTCTTAGTAGTTGGGTTGTTAAATGCTTTTAGAATGCTTGCTTGTATCCTCTGTAAAACAAAGATAAGAGAACCTAGTGGTGGTCAATGAAGATCTCATTCTCAATAAAAAAGACTTGCAAATAGCAAGATACACTATGGTTCCTACCCTGAAAATAAAATATTTGAATCTTAAATAGGTACTTACTGTTGGGATACGTAGGTTTTTTTTTAAATATTTTTATTTATTTATTATGTATACAGTGTTCTGTCTGCATGTATGCCTGCAGGCCAGAAGAGGGCACCAGATCTCATTACAGATGGTTGTGAGCCACCATGTGGTTGCTGGGTATTGAACTCAGGACCTCTGGAAGAGCAGTCAGTGCTCTTAACCTCTGAGCCATCTCTCCAGTCCCCTGGGATACATAGTTTTATTTGTTTTGAAAGATTTTTGTGAAATTGAGATTTCCCTATGTTATACATATTTAGAAACATTAAGTGTATTCTATCTTTCAGTTCTAAAACCCCAAAAAGGAACAAACCCTCTAGCTGGAGATGATAGTGCATGCCTATAATCTCGGCAGTGGGAGGAAGGGGCAGGATAGTGAGGAAGAACCAGTCTGGACTAGAGGGAGACCCTGCTTCTAAAACAACTTCAAACACAAAGGCAAAGTTCTACAGGCTCTCTAACGTGAAGTTTTCCAGATGAGCAGCAGCGTTGTGTTTAGGTTTCCTCTCAGATTTAAAGCATTCTTAGTAGCTACAAAAGCAACTACCCCAGTTAGTTCAGCTTCTCCTCAGGTTCAGAGTAAGAGTCCCTCTGCCCCTTCTCCTTCTATCTAAACTGGCATTCTTTATCAAGATATAAATATGAAAAGAACAAAAAAGATCAGATCACATGAAATTTCTTGTCTATGAAGAAACCTTAATATATAAGAAGCTATCAGACTCGTCGCTGCAGTCTCTCCAGAGAAAGTGCACACACACGGACCCTAAAGTCCAGACTGTCAACTAACACCTACCAAGAATTTCCCAAATCACAATTATGGTGATCATTACACGCAGTCGTCAATAATGACTTCAGCTGCTTACAGCAAGTTACGAGGTTTCTATTTCCACACCTGTGTATGCACGTGTTCATACGTGATGCTGAGCTCCGAAACTGGGGCCCACACACACTAGGGAAGAGTTTTACCACTAAGTCACACACTCATAGTCCTTATCTCTCCATCTTCTGTCTATGTTAGGAAAGTCTCAATCTTCCAAAAAAGACATTTTGAAACAGAATAAAAGAATATATTACAATAATAAATATTCATTTAAGTCAACAAATTATTGGCCTTCAGTTAGTTGGGCCTCTAATTAAGATGAATTTTGTCAAATGTAATTTGTGATGTTACATAGGGTAAAGGGAAGCTTGTCATCTTTCAAAAGACATTTTTCTACACATTGCTCACAGGTTTTACTCTATAACTACTGTCTGAGAGACAGAGGGTTGGGAGATAGCTTGGTGGTACAGCACTTGCCATGTAACCATGATGACCAGAAATATGAACCTCCAGAAACCCTGCCTCCCACAAAGCCAAGGTGGGTGTGGGGGCTGCCTGGGATTCCAGAGCAGGAAAGGTGTAGGCAGGGACTCCTCTAGCAAGCGGCCTAGCTAGACTAGCTGAGAGGACGACTTCTGAGTTCAGTAAGAGACGCTGCTTCAAAATACAGGGTGAGGAACTATTAAAGAAAATACCAAAGTCAACTTCGGGCCTCCATGCAGAAACATACATGCACTCACATATGAGAACATGCGCGCACGCGCGCGTGCACACACACACATACATACACACACACACGTGTCGTGTGCGCGTGCATGCATTAAAACCCAACTCTATTGCCTAAAACGGACTTTAAAGAAGATTTATTATTCATTTATTTGCAACTCTGTATAAGATATGTTTGATTTGCAGGAACCCAAAAATCTAGAGGAGAGCACTGGATCCCTTGGGGCTGGAGTTACAGTCTTTGTGAACACCCCAGCATGAGAGCTGAGAATCCATCTTTGGCTCTACCAGAATAGCCAGTGCTCTTAAATGCTCAGCCATCTCTCCAGACCCTAAAATGGCTTTTTACACTGTAAAAATGATACAGAATTCTCTGTTAAAAAAAAAGCCCTAGAGACACTATGTGGTACACTTCAACAAAAAAATAAAAACACTGCATATCAGAATCTAAGATATTTCCCAATGTTCAGAAGAAATTTCACACCTTAAATATTTAAATAAATTGAAAACAATAAAAACAAATGGACTAAGCAGTCAAATTATGAATTGAGACAAGGGATGCTAAAACCAAACAAAAGTAGAAGGAAAAGCTTCAAAGGAAATGAAAACAGAAACTGGAGATAAATAATACATGAAACCAAAACTAATTCTATCTGTATAGGATAAGTAAAAGTACTAGCTAATCTTTATATAATAAAGGGAAGTTTAATATCATACTTAAACAAGTAACTAAGAAAGTTAAATAAAATTTAAATAACCCCAAGAGAATACTTTCTAACATAATTACATTTGAAAAAAATATAGTAGGTAATTTTCTAGGAAAATACAATTTTTAAAATTAATTATAGGAGAGGCAGAAAATCATCTACCATGCCAGAAAGAGGAAAAGAGGGAAGGAAAAGAAAGAATAAAAGCCTAAAATTTTCACAGATTACTATCAAACCTGCTTTAAAGGCATAGAATTCATTTTTAAAAGATTCCAAATTACTTCTACGAAGTATAGTAAAGGTCTCAAACGTGACTTGAGAGAGCTGAGGAAGTAACTCACTTGGTAGAGTGCTTGCCTGACAAACACAAGGCCCTGTGTTGAAGCTACAGCACCTGGCTAGCCCTGCTGACTCCAGGCCGCATTCTGTCAGCACGGCTCTCTCCCTATTATGCTCCCACCTATACATCTATAATAAACTTGTAAGATGCGTGCATGCACACACACACACACACACACACACACACACACACACACACACACAGACACCATCACCTAAATGTTAGTAGAAAAGGGAAAGCCAGGGATGGAGATGCTTAAACACACATGTGATAGAGTGCAGCTGAGACTTCTGCCTTTAACATAATCTTACTCAACACTGGATTAAAGTGAGGTATCTTTAAAATTATAAGTCTAATCTTAGTGAAAGCTCAAATTAGAAGGGAACAAAAGCAAAGAAAACAAAGGCTGCCCATAAAGGAACTACTTATAGTAAATGTAATTATAAATTCTGTACATACACAAATATGTATAATTTGACCACATGTTCCCTTTAGCACTATATTCAATTTAGCAGTAGTATATCCCTCAACCTTATAGTCACAAGCAAACCCTTTACAGAGACAATATGAGAGGTTGTAAGTCATTTCTCCACGATCTGGTGGCAAACATAACGCTGCAGCCTTTCTTCCATCAAGGCAGCGGCACGTGTACACCACAGCACACTTAGCATCTGCTCCTCCCCAGGCAAGACAATGCCGCTCCCATCTGCGGGCTCACTGTAACCAACCAACACACTGATCCACTTGTGAGGCTAAGTACATCCACAGACATGACATTTCAATCTTGTCAAACTAGCTATGGCCCTCAAATGGCAGAATAAGAGCAGCATATACTTCCTGAGTTTTTATGATATTATATGACAGAGAAAAACAATGCATGGAAAAAATTTAATTTGCAATGATGTAGGACTATCATCAAATAATAAACATACTTCTGCAGAAAAAAGCTATAAAGCTGTAAGAAAGTATGATTAAATTTTAGCTCATGGGAATGTTAATGTCTCCAAATTTCAACTATAAATTTCTTAATTTATCTTTTTAAAAAATAGGTATAACACGGTGTGGTAGTTAACCACTGACTTATTCAAATGATAACATACTCAAAAAAGTTGCAGATCCCCGGGAAACCAGGAATAACCTACATAATGGGCGACTTGGCTTTCCCACTCAGGTTCTCACTAGGAGCTGTAATAAACTTGTTCTTGTACTCAGAGAACTCCATCCAGGTATAAAGAAGGAAATAAAACAACAGTACCTTTCTCCGACTTAGGAAACGAGTTAGAAAGGACACACTCTTTCTTTTGTATTGTTGGTTTTTGAGACAGGATCTTACTATATAGCCTAGGCTTGCCAGAACTTATTACCCTCCATCCTCTTGGCTCCAGAGTGCTAGAATTACTAGACTATCCATGCCAAATCATGACAAAAATCTTAACAGATGGTAACCAGGTTCAAAAGTGAAAACAGATGAGAGCTGAAGAAGAAGGGAGTCTGGAGATCCAGTCAGTGAAGCAATCAGCAAAGGGCATGGTCACAGCACACACTGTTCTATAGAACACAGACATCAACTCGTTCTTCGTTGTGCTGAAATAATTTTTAATAAAATATTAGAACCCTACCTCGCCCCACTAAAATCTGGCCATTAACACAATGCTACAGTTCAAAGAAACTGGGCTTTTAAGAGCGCTTGCTCAGTTTCTGTAGGCCCTGGGTGAGTGAAGGAGGGAGAACGGGTTCCTACCTTGCCCAGTAACACCTGCTGCAAGCACAGAAGCGCTTTGTTTATACTTGACCGCTATATTTCATATTACTACATAGACTGAGAAGTGTACTCACTTTGAGGAGAAGTTTTTACCAGCCTAGGCTATAGAGTGAGACCCGTCTTTTAAAAGTCAAGGGAGAAAAGAGAACAGCATCCTACAAGGTTTCTTGTGTTTGACATGGGAGGCACCTTAGGGTGTGACAAGAGCGAGTGTGCTGGCTTGGATCCCTCCTCATTCTCACACCTTATTTAACTCCAAATACCCCCGAAGATCCCATTTCCAAATACCATCCACACAGGACTTTAGTGATTACGTTCTAACGTGTACTTTTAAATACATCAGAGATGCAGCAATGTAGAAGATGTGTTGTGTATCTGACATCTTTAATATTTTGTACCCTCTCTGATACACTATCTATATACTATCTACATAAGAGTCCCCCAGGAAGTTCAATCTCACTGATGCCATATTAAAGCCAATAAACAAGCAATGTGCTAAAGTACAGGGCTGGAATAGCACTGCCTGAGGAGCCTCCATTAGTAGCTATTCTTTTCAGAGATCTTTCCTGACTCACACAGCTGAGGTTCTACTCCCCTGCCCATGAGTGGAGCCTAACCCAGTATGGGACAACGAAGGTTTACTCTGAGAACTCCAAACTCACAGCAGTTGGTTTATGGTTTGCATGCGTGAAACTGAAGCGTGCAAACTATGGCGAGCACTGTGCTGGCTTCAGCATGGGAAGCAAATGCCGCTCGGTCTTCTACAGAAGTGAAGAGACCAAGAGCTGAAGAAACCAGAGATAAGGGGATGAGGGGACAGGGGCTGCTTTCTAGACTGTTGTTTGTCTTCTGTGTTTATATGCCTTGCCTCAATAATTAAAACAACCTTTATACCCTTCTTTTTATTTCTTCCTCCCACTCTTCCTTCCTGAGACAGAGTCTCACTATGTAGACCAGGCTGGCCTCAGACTCGGAGACCTTCACTACCCTTGTAATGGAATTAAAAACATGCCTGGCTCTTTTCCTGAGGTCTCTCATTATAAACTCCCAGGTCCAAGTAATCCTCCTGCCTCAGCCTCTTGAGTAGATATGTACAGTGGATAGTGAGTTTTGTCTCTAAGCTATTTTGAGTTGATTTAAGAGCTGGGAGACATTAAGAAAAAGCAAAAAGAGGGCTACAAGAGAAACAATCTTACTGAAGAAAGGCAAAAATATAGATAAAAATTACTGGCCACTCTTCTTTAAAATTACAGACATTAGTCCAGATTAATATCCTTGCCTTAAAGAGAACATGTGACACACATTAAGAAATCTGACCTTTGTCTCCTCTGTCCTCACTGCATCCAACAAATGGTGTAACAGCTCCTGACTGTCCTGTTGCTGGAACCCTTTAAACCGAGGAGCCCTAAACAGAGCAGCAAAGAAAAAAAAACAGTCATTTTACAGATCATCAGACACATCAAACTTATTTAAGACCACCTTGAAATAAATTAATGGTCAGTTTACTGCTTTTCAATTAAACAGACAAGATGCTATTCCTGTTTCAGTGCAAATGAGTCCACTGGGTAGGCACTCACCTTTACCAGGCATGCCACACACAGTACTTTACACAGCAGCTTTACACACACTAACTCCCTTTCCCCAAACAATCTCACTGAGATGTGCTATGTTCTCAAGTTGAAAATGAGGGACCTGTTGTGGAATAAACCTTTTGTACACTGTAAGGATGTGTCATTCTGATTCATTTAATAAAGAGCTGAACGGCCAATAGCTAGGCAGGATTTTCAGGCACATAGAAAGCTGAGAAGAAAAAGGAGGGCGTCAACAGCCAGATGGAAAGGAAGCAGCCTGGGTAGTACAGAGTAAAAGTAATAAAACTATGAGACAAAAAGTAGACTGATTTTAAAAACGGGGTTAAGAGCTAGTTAGTAGCACGTCTCAGTAATCATCTGAGCTTTCATAATTAATAATAAGTCTCCGTGTCATTATTGAGGACCTGTTAGTCCCAACAAAAAGGTACAACTAAAGGGATCAGAAGAGATATTAAAATAATATGCAATGTCATACAGTCAGCAAGAAAAACAGCACTCAACCCAAGCCTCTGTGATTTATCATTTTATCTCAAAGAATAAAAAGATTAAGATACATTCTGTATCTTAATATAAATATTATTTGCTTTTTATTTTAGACGAAATATAGTCACACAGTTACAGAAAGTATCTTATACATTGCACACTGAAAACTATGAGAATATTTTCCTTCTAAGAAGATAATAATTAGATCTCCTGTGTGACTAAATGAGATAGCTAAGCGCTATTCACAGAGATACCAAGAGCAAATATCACGTGGATAATTGAATCCACAGAAAGCTTGAGGAAGCTTGGGAAAGAATAGAGTAAAGCATATTTTCTTGGTAGCAGCAATTTTTCGGTTCTGCTCTGCTTGCTAGAGGCAAGCAAATGCTCTCATCTAAGAGAGGCTTCCTGACTCAGCTTTAGCTGCAAAACCCTGCAGCTCTTTTAAGAGGTCCTGTCACGAGACACTTAAATGGTGTTGATAAAAAGCTGAACGCATGCTTTTCGGTTTTCAGCTGTAGCAGGAAAAAAGCTGTGCCGTTTTAAAATGCCCGCTTTCTGGACTGTCCTGCCAGGGCAAACTCTGACTCTTTCAAGCAGGCAGTCCGACTGAGTGTGGTCTGTGAGCAGAATGTTGCAGTTTGCTTGCTGGCAAGGACCTTGAAATGCCATAGAGTTGTGGAAGTGAACACAGCTCTGGCTGGTATCTCAGCTGTGAGGCTGGAAAGCTAAGAAATGGGCTGGATCTAGCCGTCAAAGCCACGGCTTTAATCCTCTCCTTAAAGACTCATGTGGTCAGAAAAAGAGAGATATTCAGTAAAGAGAGATTCAAAGACAAAGAAAACCTCTAAATGGTTTACAGTGTGTTAAAAATATATGCAGGCTAAAGGTTAAAGTCATCAAAAATAAAAAAGAAAGAAAGGGAGAAATAGGGTGTGGTGGTACACACCTTTAAACCCAATGCCTGGGAGGCAGAGACAGACAGATCTCTGAGTTCAAGGTGTGGTATGGTAGCACACGCCTTTAATCCTAGCACTGGGGAGGCAGAGACAGTGGATCTCTGTGAGTTCAAGGACAGCCTGGTCTACAGAGTTATTCCAGGACAAAGATATACAGAGAACCTGTCTCAAAAAGTAAAAGTAAAAATAAAAGAAATAGAAGTTAAAATAAAGCTGCATAAAGATGGAAAATACACAGAGAATCTTGATACTGTATGTTATTATGCTCTCTTTGAATTGTTTGAATGCTGAGGAAGGAGCAACAGTCGCCAAAAGACATTTGCTTATAAATGCTGCAGAATTGATCCAATCCAAGATAGGTATTTTGAAAATACCTTGGCTTCAAAACTGAAGTCAAAAGGTATGTTACTTTGGAGAAGAGATTGTGCTTTTGTTTCCATAGGAAATGAGAGGCTGTGGATTCATTCTGAGTTAAGAAAAATCAGGTTCAATAAAGGAAGGCCACCTGAGAAATCTCCAATAGGAACAGATGGCCCAGAAGACAGAATTCTACATCCAGAACAGATTCAAGACTGCCGCCTGAGATGATCAAGACTCACAGGATACTCCAGTCATGACTTGATTATAACTCTAAATTTTCTTTAGGTCCCCATAAGATCATCAGCGCCCCCAACCAGCAGGAAGTAGCCTGAAATACTACGCCCACATTCCCAACAAATGGACTATGGGTATTTTCCTTTGTTTAAAAAAAAAAAGAGGGAAATGGTGTGGGAGAATTGTCTGTATTCTGTCAATCATATTTTAATAAAACGCTGATTGGCCAGGCAGGCAGTATAGGCAGGAAAGCCAGACAGGAAGTAGAGGTGGAGCAAAGAGACTGGGAGTATTCTAGGAAGCTTCCTCTGCCACTCCTGCGCAGACCACCAAAGAGGCAACATGTAAGCTGACAGCTGAAAAAGGTACCAAGCCACATGGCTAACATAGATCAGAATAATGGGTTAATATAAGCTATAAGAGTTAACAAGAAGCCTGAGCTAATGGGTCAATCAGCTTATAACTTATAGAGATCTCTGTGTGGTTGATTTTCCTTGGGAGTTGCTGGCTGTGGGGTACTGAGCGGGACAGAAATCCCAACATGCCAGCCCCTCATACTACATCTGTGATTTATCATTTTATCTCAAAGAATATAAAGATTAAGATACATTCTGTATCTTAATATATTATTTGCTTTTTATTTTAGAAGAAATATAGTCACAGTTACAGAAAATATCTTATACATTGCACACTGAAAACTATGGGAATATTTTCCTTCTAGGAAGATAATAATTAGATCTCCTGTGACTAAATGAGCTAGCTAAGCGCTATTCACAGAGATACCAAGAGAAAATATTTAGTTCATTTTGGTAACTTAAAGTCTGCAAAAGAACAGTTCTGGAATCATAATACCTGATTTCAATCAGTTCTACAGAGCCATAGGAACAAAGCCAGATGGCAGGCAGTGGCACAAAAACAGTCATGTGCACCAACAGAAAAGAACAGACAATACAGATACAAACACACACTTCAACAAGGGTGTCAAAGGCCTATGCTGGAGAGAAGACAGCCACTTCAACAATAAACGGTGCTGAGAAAACTTTGTATCCGCATGGCAAAGAATAAAACCAGATGTCATCCTTCACCCTCTAAAAACCAACACAAAATGCATAAAAGACTTTAATGTAACACCTGAAATGATATGAAATTTCATAAAAACAAATTTACAATAATTTCACTATGATGTGTGTGTGTAATCTCATTTGATATAAACAACACTGTTAAAGACTTTGTAAAAATGAACTACATTTTTCTACTTGAGAAGAATGAAGAGGAACAAGTTAAATGTCACTAAATACCAATCCGGCTCTTATGACCCAGAATCTAGTACTTTAAATAGTATTCCTCAGAGTCTCATAATTAACATCCACCCTACAGTGCACTGATGTGCCTGCTGCAAAGCTAAGGGAGCTGGCAGTGAAGTTAACACAGAAGAGGAAACACCGGTTCAGCTAGTCTTTTGCTCGGTAGCTGCAAATAGCGTCGTTATGTTAGAGAAGGCTTGTGGGAGTAGGTCAGAGAAACTCAGGCTAGAAACAGATCCCAGAGTTGCTTGAGCCTCTACAGCTGGCATCACAAGAGGCAGAAATTACATAATAGACCTGTGCTGTCAATATCAAGCAACGTTAGTGAGATCAACTAGGACAGAAACAGAGATCCTTCCAGAGTCTCCCTTAGCCCGGTGGGAACAGACAAACACATAGGGTGGAGAGCATTTCTGAACAAAGAAGCTGCCTATCTCCATCTCCATAATGTAAAAACTGTTTGTTGCCTTCTAAATAATCACTGAAAAAAAAATAAACCTAGGGATTTCTTTTCATTCTTCTACTGAAAACTGAAAAATGTAATACATTAACTTATAAAATTTTTGCAGGATCCTATCTGAGGTACCAATATCAAGTACCTTTAAACTTACTTTTAAAAAGGTTGGCAGATCCAAACATATGAAGGCAATCAGCCTATTAAATAAGAGGAACATTCATTGGAAAGATGCCTTAGTATATTAATTATTTTCTTCATCATTATGACAATATATCAGACAGATACACCTGAAGGGAAGAGAGCTTGATCTGAGCTCAGACTTCCAGAGGGTGTGTCCTATCATGGTGGGGAGGGGCTAGTCACCAGAGCAGTTGGTGCATGGCAGTAGGAGTTTGTCAGGCAGCTTATTCACACCTTGGTGGATCAGGAAGCAGAGAGGATACTGGGCCTGGAAATAGGGCCAGACTACAATCCTCTTGACTGATCCCAAAAGTTCCACAACCCCCCAAATGTAGCATGAGGGCCGGCTTGTTGGGGTATCTGTCCCGCCCGGTACCCCACAACCGGCAAGCCCCAAAGGAAAATCACACACAGGACTCCATAAGATTATAAAGCTGATTGGCCCATTAGGTCAGGCTACTTATTAGTCCTTGTAACTTATATTAATCCATTATCATTATCTATGTTAGCCATATGGCTTGGTACCTCTTTCAGCTGTCAGCTCACATGTTGTTGCCTCTTCGGTGGTTTGCCCAGGAATGGCGGAAGAGCTTCCTTCTTCCCAGAAGAAATACTCCTGTTCTCATCTCCCCACCTTTACTTCCTGTCTGGTTGACCCACCTATACTTCCTGCCTGGCCAATCAGCGTTTTATTAAAATACATGATTGACAGAATACAGACAATTCTCCCACACCACCCAAAGGAGCACCAGCAGCTGGGGACCAAGTGTATTAACACATGAACTTCTAAGGGACAGTTCAGATTTCAAACCTTATCACTTAATATAAGTGGTGCTGTCGTGAGGCAAGAAGTGCTGGAAAGATGGCTCAGTGGTTAGAAACAATCACTGCTCTTACAGAAGACCAGATTTAAGATCTCAATGCCCACATCAGGTGGCCCACAATCGCCTGCCACTCCAATTCCAGTGATCCAATGTGCTGTTCTTCTGGCCTCAGAAGGCACTGGCATATGTGTAGTGCACATAAATACACCAAAGCGCGCGCATACACACACACACACACACACACACACACACACACACGAATTTAAAAAAAAATAAGAGTGTTGGAAAGATGGCTCAGAGGTTAAGAGCATTGGCTACTCTTCCAAAAGTCTTGAGTTCAATTTCCAACAATCACATGGAGGCTCACAACTTTGAAGAAAGTCCCTGGACAATGTTTCCAAGGCCACAAAAGGACTAAAGAAGCCTGAGTACCTAAGGCTGAGTCTTTACACCACACACCCAGATCATGGTCATAAAGTCAATGTTACCCTAGGAAACTTACCTCCAAGGCCAGCCAGGGGGTTATGTGAGAGGAACTTAAGATTTAAAATTAAAAAGCAGGGAGTGGAGACGTAAGAAGAGAGTACAGGAGTGACAGATGAGGCAAGGAGGTAAGAAAGAAGTGGGAACAAAAATGAGGAAAAATTAATATGGAAAAAATTACACCAAGTAAGCCTATGAACCGAGAAATTCAAGCATAGGAAGAAGTCTAAAGAAAAGATAACAAGAGTATAAAATAACTTCACTTCAAATGCATTTTATAGAGCTGCCTAAAATGTTCCCCAAAATATTCCGAGAATGTCCAATAGAGGCTCAGCATTAAGAGCATTTGCTGCTTGTAAACCCTGAGTTTATTTCTCAGCACCCACATCCCAAGACTCACAAGCATCTCAACTGGAGGTCTGAGGGATCTGATGCTCTCTCTCTCTCTCTCCTGGCCTCCAAGGGCATCAGGCACACATGGGGCGCACATGCATATATGCAGGTAAACACTCATATACATAATAAAAATCATTTTAAAAAATTAATAAACTTATTGGCAGGCTATGCTCGCAAGGTATATAAAACATAAGTCAACTTTGTGTTTGTACTTGAACCCTTTTTTCAAGAGGGCTCATAATATATGAAAATGTTCTAAAATCTGAACAAACCCAAGTGCAAAACATTTCTGCCCCTGAAAATCTCAGGTGAAAGGTGTAACCCTGTAGTGAATCATGAAGAAAAGGGCAGACAAGAACCTAGTTTTTGTCTAGGAGTACTCAACTATTTCAACATATTTTTGACTTTATAAATCTTAATAAAAGAAGGAAACATAAAAACAAATGAAGCTATTTTGGACAGAATTATAACAAATTTGTAAAGCATGCAATGCCCTAAAACTCTAACTTTATGCAGCAGTCAGATCTCTAAGCTTCTCACAGTCTTTTCTGGCCTTCACGGAGCAAAGAAACGGTCTGTGCTGAATTAAAGAAGCATGGCAAATCCTCTACACTTGGGACTTGTTTAAGTTTAAACAAAATCTTGAAGTCTGTAAATACTATAAAATGCAAGTCCCTATTTAAGGAACTTGCTTCCTTCACACCTCAGTAACTGGACTGAACTAATTTATTAGGTCCATGAGAACAGGACCAGTTGTAATGTTACATACAATCATCTCACCGTTTCAGAAAAAGAAATGAGTGGCTGTTTTAGCAGTGTTGGGTAACAGCCTCAGGTCATGAGGAATTGTGTCAGGTTGTATTTGGCAATAGCCCCGAGCTATAAAGAATAGTTTATCAAGCCAGGATTGATGGCCCACACCTTAATCCCAGTACTAGGGAGACAGAGGCTGGTGGATTCTCGTGAGTTAGAGGCCAGTCTGGTCTACAGAAGGAGTTCCAGGATAGCCAGGGCTACATAGTAAGACCCTATCAGAAACAAACAACACTTAGTCCTAGCCTGACTGTTTAGCATAAGCAACTCACCCTGCCAAACCACACACACACTCACACACATGCACACATGCATGTATGCACACATGCACACACACATACGTTCTCAAGCCTCTCTGAATGCACACAACCTTCATCCCAATTATTAACTCCCTTCTAATACAGGAATTTCTTGGAGCAGCTCTCCTTCCCACCCAAGCAGCTGCAGTAGACATGAAGAGAACCAATGATTTCTCTCTTTTCTCAATAACAAGGCCAACCAAGACCGCCCTGTCACTTCCTGATTCTACGACAACAAGACCTCATCCCCAGAGCCATCTTGTCCACACGGACGCTCTTTCCCTGACGGCTGACACCCTAACTGTCTGCACTCCCCGAATCACCCTTCTTTCCTTGCCCCTCAGTTCACTACCACTCATCCTCTGATGGATTATTCCTAAAAAGATAACCAAGTCCTGTGAGTCTGACCAGAAGACAAATTCTAATCCCAACCTCTGCCCTCCCCAGTTCGTATCTCACCAAATGAGAGTTCAGTTACCTTCCCTAGACTAGCAGTTAGGTTTCACCATGGGCTCCTGGTCGGGGGACAGATATTTACTAGCATTTGCAGATACCTTTCCAGGATAGGCTGAGGCCTTCGCAACCACAAGTAAGAGGGCACACAGTTTGCACACTATGTCTAAGATCACCCAGGCTCCAGTTTCCCAGCTCTCATCATCAGAGAGGCAGACTGTATAGGACCAGAAACAAATTGCACCCACTTGGTTCCCAAGGTGTCTCACCAAGTCCCTCCAACAAAGACTACTATACTCGCTTTTACTGCCCAGAGGTAACTGACCAGCCCTTATCCAACCTGGAAGGAACCTTAATGTACCCCTTCTACCACAGAGATCGTAGCTAGTTCAAGGTCAGGCTCCAAAGCTACAAAGAAACCCTGTCTCGAAAAAACAAAACAAAACAAAACCCCCCAAAACAAAACAAAAAAAACTTAACTGGCTAAAACTGTGTCCGAGTGCTCATTTCTGGTGGGTTCCTATGACAAAACCTCAAAAATGCTGTAACTTCCTGGTAGATACATACATGCATGTATGCACATATGTTTTAAGTTTAATTACTGTGCCTAAGAGGTCTATAAAACAAAAATACTTCTAACCTGTAAGCCCCTTGCTTAAGAACATAAACTTCCTGAAATGCTGGAGGCTACTGTTTATGGAAGATAACAAGACACATGTTTTCACTCCCCTAAACAAGTTTGTTTGATCAAACTGCCCTGGGTGTGCTTGATCATATGTAGGCAGAAAGTATACAGGCAGGAAGTACGTCAGAATATATTCTTGCCCCTTCTTGGTTACAGGTGGCAGGGAAGAAGTATGTTAGGATTTATGCTTGCTCCTGATTGGACCTTATGGGAAATAATGGTATCTTATGGGTTTGCCTTTATAAGCCTGCAAAATGTGACTCATAGTCATTTTATAGGAGCCAGAGTCTATCATCCTGGCCAGTATTTAACTAAAACTAGCTTCAAATTTGGTTCAAAAAATTGTGGTAGTGGTCTTATTCTCAATTGATGGGATTAACAGTATGTTCCTCAGCCTCTCTAAATGAGCTTAACCTTCATCCTGTGGAAACTGCTTCAATAAAGCACTCGTCTGCTTCTCTGCTTTATTTTTCTTACAAACATCAAGCTGGGTAAACTCTTTATGGCGTCTGTTTACTTCCAGGCATATGAAGGTTTTACCCTTAAGCAGATGATAATACCTGGAGAAATCACATAAGACCTATTTGCCTCTAAGCTCACCTTTAAGATAAAGAAGCTAAGGGTCTGAGAATGTAGCTCGGTGCTGGGCTTTGCCTGGCACATGAGAGGCACCAACAAAGGAAACTTGTATTTGTTATGCTATTTTCTAGATTTTACAGTTGAGAGATATCCCCATGATAGCATATTCTGTGCTCTGCAAATATGTGTTGCTTTTATTGATTGATGGATAAAACTGCTTTGGCGTATGGCAAGGCAGAATACAGCTAGAAGGAAATCGAAGCAGAGATACAGGCAAAGCATGGGGACTGAGGAAGAAGCTGGCAAGCTGCCAGAGCAAGATGTACTAGAGAACAGGTAAACCACAAAGCCACACGGCAATACACAGATTACTAGAAATGGGTTGGCTTATATGTAGAGTTAGCCAGCAATAGCCTAAAACATTGGCCAAGCAATTATAATTAATATTAAGCCTCTAAATGATTATTTTATAGCCAGCCGCAGGGAGTAGTAGGCGGGACAGAATTAGTCCAGTGAGACCGTCGGGACACAGAAAACTTTCAGCTACAGCCTCAAGCTATGAAGAATTGCTTGACCCACTTAGTTCCCCAGCCTGACCACTTAGTTCCACCCCAGAAACAGTATGTCCATTTAGCACAAGCAACTCGCCTAGCCAAACCACAAAAATAGTTGTAACTTCCTAGGAGATACAGACATACATAACATTGTATCATAGACTTGAGTCAGAACAGACTTCACTTGATTCTCCGTTTTGATGCCCCCATACTAGCGGTGCTACCTCAGTTCTGAGTCTCTGTTTTCTAATACATAAAATGAGGATGAACACTGACTTCTAAAGAGGATGGTGAAAATTTGCACAAAGCACACAGATGTGGCTAGCAGATGTTGCTTCTTTGTCTTGTCAGTCTGGGCAGAACCAAAACAACAGAGTGGGAATAAAACCCTTGTAAAGTGGGAATGCATCAGAACTTTACGACCTCATTGTTCATATTAAGAATACAGACACACTCACTTCTGGCAAAGTTGATTGAAAAGAACTTTAGGAGAAAGGGGTCCTTTTTCTGCCTCCTTCATGCTGTGAAGAAACAGGAACAAGGCTGAAGTCAATGGTCCAGGGCTTGAAAGTTCCACCACTAATGGATCCTTTGAAAACATGATCAATGCTTTGTCAGAAATACATAATTTTAAAGCAAAATATTATCAAGAATCTTAAAGCTATATTTATTTAACTGAAAGTAACTAAACTGTCTCAAGTGTATTAACATTTAGTCCTTCATATATAAAATATTTAAAAAGAGAAAGCAGGATTAAATGCTGTAAGAGACTGAGTCACTCAATCTGACTGTATTGCAGTTGGAACAACGGACACCAAAGAACTCGGAATTTCCCCAGTAATCTCATGCTGGGAAACAGGACCTGTGCCAGCCAGATGGGAAAATTGATTTTACACAGTTCTAATTCCTTGCCAGACCACTTAACAGAATGAGCCTGACGCCCTTGTATATCCTAGGTCTCCTATTTAAACTTTCCTCACTTCAGGCCCCCAAAGATGGACATAAGGGTTTGCTGGATGTCTTTGGTCCTTCTTCCCAAATGTGGTCATACTGAATAACTCTTTTCTCCTCCTTTCCATTTCCACTTGGCTCTTTTTAGTTGGTGTATTGAGGACAACTAGTTGGACCTGATATGAGGCACAAGTTGTGATCCCCAAGTTCATAACAATGCCTTGCTTAAAAAAACAAAACAAAACAAAAAACAGTATTTTCAGTATCTTCTGCCTTTTACTTAATCACAAGCCTGGTGAAATCACCAATCCTCAGTTGTTTCGACCTGCGAATTTTTCTACAAGCAAAATTATAAATCTGCTTGGTATTTGTATAAATTCACAAATAAACCCAAATTATATTTACTAGAACTTCACTTTACTATTGGGTCTCATTTGTTAGGAACAAATGGCTAACTGAGGTGCCTATCAACAACATATCAGAGAGGATGCTGGCCAGCTCTCCCAGCATCGCTCAGTACTGTGCCTCCTCCTGGCACTTCTCACTCCACCCCCTACCCTAAACCTCTCCCTCCCAGGGGCTGGGGTTCCACTTCCTATGGCCCTTCACCTCTTGGTTAGCCACCTTAGTCAGCAGTTCCTCTCTTGCTCTCCTTCCCCTTCTCAAGATCAGGTTTAGTCTGTTGGCCATGTTCAGCCTGGACTCTACCTGCGTTATCCCTTACATCTACAACAAAATTCTTCTCCATACTTTAGGAGAAGTCATGTCCTCCTCCTTTTATTGCATTTTTAAAAATTCATTTACTTTTCCCCTTTTACTAATAAACAAAGGGATGGGGAATTACATGACAGGATGGTATGTTACATCTTCTTTTAAAGGCGATACAAAGCTCAATAAATAGCAACTGTGTTAAGGACTAACCCATTTTAGGTCTTTTTCCCCAACCAAGCTCTGCTCTCTTGTTAATCCCTCTTGGCCTCCTGGGAGGTGTGACCCAGAACACTGCTCCACAGTCCCTAAACTGCTCCCACAAGCTAGCTGTGAACCACACTCTGTCTTCCTCTAACTATTTGCATCAAGCGCACATATATACAAAGCAATTACTTTTCTATTTTATTTGTGTGGTGTTAGAGACTGAACATATGCTAAGCAAGCCCTCACTCACCTTTGAGCTACATACCCAGTCCTGTCTTTAAAAAAAAAAAAATCAGTTCTGAAGTCTTGCTCAGCGCCCAAGCACACCTGTAACTTAGTCTCCAAAGTACCTGGCATCCCATACAGGAGCAATCACACCCTATCTATGCCTTTATTTGTTTATTTTTTAACATAAACACCAGGTCTCACCATGCTGCCTAGGCTGCCTCGAACTGCTGGGATCAAGTCACCACCTTGCTTAAGCGTCCCGTTCAATTGCCCGGGACTACAGCACAAATACACTAGCTCTCCATAACTACTGCTGGTTACGAGAGTCAGCCCTTTCTGGCACAAAGTCACCCAAAATACACATACAATTAAATAAAGTAAGCCAATTACTTATTGCCATGAGGTAGAAGTTCTCACTATGATGAGTGTGTCAGTAAGGGGGTGGTATAAGAACCTATACAACTTTGGACTTTGGTTAACTCTGGCACAGAATCTAAAGAAAAGAGGATTTCCTCTAGACAGATGCCATCAGCAGACAGGAATTCTACCACTGACTATCTCAGCAAGTCTAATCCACAGAGAGCTAGAGAGGACTGAGGGAGGCCTGCTACAGTGGCTGCCATTCACTCTCATGTTACCCAACGTGGGTACTACGTATTGGGTTTTCTTTTTCTTTTTTCTTTTCTTTTCTTTCTTCTTTTTCTGGTTTGTTTTTTCGAGACAGGGTTTTGCTGTAGCTATCAAGCCTGTCCGAGAACTAGCTCTTGTAGACCAGGCTGGCCTTGAACTCACAGAGATGCTTCTGCCTCTGCCTCCCAAGTGCTAGGATTAAAGGTGTGCGCCACTACTACCCAGCTGGGTATTGAGTTTTCTAAATGGCAGAGTAAATGTGTTTCATCTGTGTATAGATAAATTACAACATGGCCTTACTTTGTTCTTTTTTGTCCCAGTCCCAGAGACCTAGCGCGAGGTGGCCTGACTGTGAGACTGAGTAACGTGGTCTGGCTTTGGGTATTGTAGGCCAGCTTCTGAATGCCAGTGATTGCTCTTCTTGTTAATCTCCTCCTTTCTCATTAGCTTAAAATCCCATCATCAGACTAGACTTCAACTCCCTTTCCAAGAAGAGCCTGTGAGAAGGCTGCGTGGCAGGTGAAGGCACCGTGGCAGGTGAAGGCACCTCCCATCAGGCCCAGTGACCTGAACTCAGTCCTCAGGAGCCATACTAGAAAGAAGCGAATCCACAAGTTGCCCTCGGACCCCGCACCTGTGTCATGACACACATACACACCAAATAATTAAACTATTAATAAAAATACTTTAAGCCTGGCCAGGCGGTGGTGGCACACACCTTTAATCTCAGCACTCGGGAGGCAGAGGCAGGCGGATCTCTGTGAGCTCGAGGCCTACAGGGTGAGTTCAATAACTGCAAGGAATACACAGTGATACCCTGACTCAAATAAACAAACAAAAAGAAAGAAATTAAACCTTCAGATATTAAATATTTAAATCTAAGTTTAAAGAATAGCGACAACAACAAATCCTAAATTTAAATAAATGTTACTGTTAGCTACCAGACTCCTAGGCATTTTGTTCAATAAAAGTTCTGACTCTTGTTTTTTCTAGTATGTGCAAATAAAAATTACCTCAATATCTATTTTTTTGATCCACAATATTTCTGAACCATAGTATACCTTAAAGTTACAATTTCTGAAAACTTTTATCTGATTATTTTTACAAGATACTTTTGAATTATGTTTTAAAGCCCTCAGACTACAATCCCATTTGGTAGCTTAGAGAAACAGAAAAGAAATATTTTGACAACAGGCTATTATGTTTCTGTAGCTGTTGAACTTGTTACTCACCAGCTGTGGAGCTGACGAAAGAGAGATCTTGAGTTTGGTGCCGTCCTCTTTTATCTCATTCATCAGTTCAAAGAGAATGTGAGTCTGAGCCAAGTTCTAAACAACAGAGAGTCAAGCCTCCATTCAGTTAGTGTGGTCCTGATGTGGTGACGTGAATGGTCAGTGTTCA